GGGGGGGGGGGGGGGGGGTTAAGAGGGGGGATCCCCCGTGCACTCTGCAGCAGACCCAGAAGTGCTTTTGGTCCACTTTTGAGTCTGCTGTTGAGTGCGCTGGGGGACCCCCTTGCGTTCCTGTGGGACGCTCCATCCACCCCACCATCTCAGCATTCATGAGCTGCCTGGTACCTTGAGGTGTGTAGAAAACACATTTAAAGCTGTGTCTGTCCGAAATGTCAAACCTCTCCAAATCAAAATCAGAGGCTTCCAATTCAATTCAGAGAGATTAAATGGGTCTCCTGGTTCGATTTGGAGATTAGCCTGCCAAATCTCATCCGAATCAAATCAGCAACCAAAGCTTCACACAGCTCTAATAAAGAGAGAGCATTTTCTCTTCTGCATTTCAAAGAGGTGAATTCTCTTTGCTTGAGCCTTTCCCCTAAAACTGACAAAGCCCTGGATCAGCTGTAAACTCAAAACATCAATATCTCCTATTTAAACAGCCTTCATTTAGGAAACTGGGTCCAGATCCTCAGTAGGACTTGGAAATTAACTGCCTGTAGACACAAATTGTTCTAAATTTTATGAAATGCAGCATTTTAAAAATACAATCCTTGCTTCACAAAGTACCTGCTAAAATAGCACCATGGCATTCAAATGCTCTCCTTTATCATATAGGTAGTGACCATTTATTTTACTGATTCTGCCAGCAGTGCAGAGCCATACTGGACTGCCCAGATGCAAATTTTGGTAGCAAAACATATGACTAGCAATTGAACAGGAATCAGAAAGAACAAAGCTTAACTTCAAGATGCAAAGTTAAGACTCAAAGCAGACTGTTAGACAAGACATCTCTTAATTTGTAGGCTGAAGTTAGCATGTTTTTTTTCACTGAATATAAGAAAAAACAAAGAGGAGAAGTGTAAATGATTTCATAACTGCATAAGCAAATTATGTTCTCGTAAAACTAATGACCTATAACCTACCAAAATTGTTGAGATGTTTTACCCACTCATGTAATTTGGGATCCAATTCTTCAAACTCACTCAGTACATGGATAAAAATTCTTGTCTTTACTCTATTTTTTTCCTGAATTAAGTAACTGATGAGCTGCTCCATCACTTGATTTGATAAACTACTGTTGATGGAATATGCTGTGTAATCTTCCTTACTTATTATCCACCATGAAAGTAATTCACTAAGAAGTTTGGAGGTGTCATATACACCTGTTTTTATTTGCTCAGCATTTTGTATAATATACTGCAGGACTCCATCACCAGCAAATAAGCACTCTCCCGGAATATGGCCTGTAATAAAACAAAGCAAGATTTCCATGTCAGTTTACAAAACCTGGAAAGCAGAATCAAACCAAATTACAGAAAAGCTTAATTTTTTTAAATCACAACTCTATGTCCTCTGAAAGCCAGTTACAGGACATTCTACTTCAGGGGCGGGCAATTATTTCAGGTGGAGGGCCACTTACTGAGTTTTGGCAAGTCATTAGGGGCCACATGACAGGCAGTCAGGGGCAGATGAATATTAATTTTCTAAATTTTTTAGGGGCCCTGTGGGCCAGATAAAATGGCCTGGTGGGCTGCATCTGACCTGCAGGCCTCATTTTGCCCACCCCGTTCTACTTCTATTTGTCATAAGTGAACTAACACTGCAATTTTGCAACTGGTAAATTAATTTGACATACTGAAAAAGTTTAATAAAAGAGCAAATGGTGATTCCCTCAATGAATACTGGAAAACCTTATTTACTGATAACTGTAGCCTCAAAATATGTGTCTGCACAGATGTAGGATGTGCATGCACCTTTTGGTTCTGAGCCCTGACTCTCCAAAGGAGCAGCAAACAGGGGCAAATGCACACATTTAAGCATTAGTTCCTAAGGTTCTAATGGAAATCTGATTCTGTCCCAACTCAAAGTCTTTGTAAAAAGAAATTAAAGAAGCAAAAAAAGATGGGTGGGGAAACATGAGAACTACAGACACAAGCAGTCTTTCAAGAATGGTCCTTACAGACTGCCACATCAGAGAAATTAACTGGCTATAACAACTTACAGAGGTGAGGAGTCTGAAGAGAATTAAGGGAACCCACAAAACCAGCTTCCCATATTTGGCATCAAAGCTAGTACTGGGCCAAGAGTATCATGCAGTTGCCTGAAATGAACAAGCACTAGGGCAAACTTAAGTATCTCAGTGCTAGAAGCTTCACTTGACTGTAGACAATAAACTTAGACATGTCAGAGTCCACCCTAAAACCCGTTATAGCAATGCACCTCAGAAGACACAACTCTGGCATCTGTGCTCCTCTGCCCCTCCCTCTGGGCTTATGACTGTATCTGTTCTTATTTTAATGGTATCTATGATCCTTTTTTCTCTTGAAGATGTGTGACCTAAACACCACAGTTGCCAACAGTCAGTAAATAACCAGGCTAAAAGCTCCTGTTTATAAAATCCATTAAAAAAAGGAACCAATTTTACTGGGAAAAAAAAACAAAACAAAAAAACAAAAATGATTAAGCAACTGGAGCCTGATTAAAGCTCCATGGTGGAAACAAAGTGGGATGCAGTGTTGAAGGACAGACAGAGTAGAGTAGCACCACCACCAAGGGCCTGAGCAGGAGCACAGAATCCTGAAGGGAGCGATTATCAGGGCTTCATGGCTTATGGCAGCGTTTCTCAACCCATGGGTAACAACCCAAAAGCGGGTTGCAAGAATATTTCAAAGGGTTGCAAGCTGTGACAGGGCATAGGGGCAGCAGGAAGGTGCCTGCTCCTTCCAGCGGGGGAAGGTAGCAGGGGAGAGCTACATGGCTGGGCTGGTGGCACCAGCCCTGATGCCTGTGTTCACAGGGACAGTGTAGCAGGGAGATGCTTCTCAGGCAGAAGAAGGGGCCCAAGACCATGCTGTCTGGTATAGCGTGGCAGCCACAGCCCAGGGCAGGGTGGGGTGCCACACGCCTCTCCTCTTCCCTCCAGCCTGTGCCAAGGCTGGATTTGCTGCTCCATGGCTGCCTATGAGCCAGAGCCACAGTGCTCTGGCCCAAGCAGGATGGGGGCAGCTGGGGGCCCCTCTGGCAAAGATCAGGCAGCAGGGGACTGCAGGTCAGGAGTGAGGGATACCAGCATGGCCCTGAGGGGCAGGGAACTGGGGTTTGGGCACTGGCAGGGACAAGGGGCTGTGGGTCAGGACAGGCCACAGACCTTTGCAAGTGGGTCCTGGTAGGAAAAAGGTTGAGAACCACTGGCTTACGGAACTCTGTAGCTCCTTCCCCAACCCCCAGTCATGTGCTGGTACTGCATCCCACCTGCATGCAACACTGCTGGGTGCCAGGTAGGCAAACAGTCCTTTTGGGGTCTGTGCTGGGACAGGGGAAATGGGAAATAGGGCAGGTGGGAGCAGCATGTCATGAGGTATGGTTGGGCAGGTGTCCAGGGCGACAGGAGAGTAGGGGATTCCTGGGGTAGCAAAAACATGGTGTAAAGAACTACTGCAGCAGTCAAGCAGGTACATTTAATACAGTACTTATACCATCACATGGTAACACTTTCACCTACCTTTATGGTCACGTTTAGATTCACTATTTTCTTTCTGATTTTCTTCTACTCTCTCTTTTACAGAATTCAGCATTTCTTCTTTTACATATTTTCTCCTTAATTTTTTATCTTGTTTTATTTTCAGTTTCCTACAACTGATAAAAACAAAACTCAGCTATCAATATGTTGGTTTTTCTTTATCAATTTATAAAGAGTATATTCACACATCTTTACAATAGGCAGAAACGCAGAGAGCTGACCTTAAAAACATACCCTGCCATGGTGAGCATGCACAAATTTACATCTACAGCAGGGGTGTCAAGATTCAGTTGGCAGGCCACATTCCCTGCCAAAACTCAGGGGGTTAATGTGGCAAACACTACATGTAAAGACACTCTCGTGGTCTCTTACAGCAGTTGCTACTGCTGCGCACTCAGCTCTGTTGTGAACTGTCACCAAATTTTCTGTCACCAAAAGCAACTGAGAACAGTAAAACAGGCCTACCCACTGTGTTGGCTGCCCCACAATCACCTGAACTGGAGGAAACTGGTAAGGAACAGAGCTGAGACGCAGAAGTCACCTGAGAACTGGTCAGCAGCCAAGTGTACCAGATGACATCACCACAGGCTACGTGTTTTGATAGCTCTGGCTAAATGTTAGGTTATTTTAAAATAATTTCTAAAACATGTCCCTCCGTGATAGCTCAGGTAAAACACAGGGAATTCATCTTTACACTTGTGTCTTATTTCTGGGATCCACAGTCTAAAAATTTAACAAACTCCTAAATGAGACAATTTTAGTGACTGCCATATACCGATATATATTTTTACTTTGGAAACTTTCAGAGAAATAAGATGCTGAGAAATCTCCACAAAATCTGTACTTTGTAACATGAGAAATATCAAGATTTGCATTTCCCAAGCTTTATTTCTAATCTGGCATACCAAACCCTCACAGCCTAATGTGCGAGTATTTACTACTTTACATGAACATCAAAATGTAAATGCCTTCAACAATCTTCCAGCAAGGTTAATACCATGTAAATCAAATATATGCAAATGTGTAAAATATACAATTCAGTTTTAAGTGACAGGCTTTTAGTATTCATAAAAGAGTTTAATAGATAAGGAAAAGGATGCAAGATAGTGGCAGCATTCAATACTTTCCCTTCAAGGTAACATCCCTTAGCTACCTGGAATATACAAAAGAAGAATGGCTACAAACTCCAGAAGGGTAACTCATACTCCTATAAGCAGGGGTATCATATATATGGCCTGGCCTGAGAAGCCCTATTACCTGGTTCCAGTGTTGCCTGTAGGTCATGGAGCTGACCCATATGCAACATACATCATGCAGGTCTGATCCAAGATGCACATTGCAAGTGCCTGCTCCAGCCAGTCCACGACATGTGCTGGACCCAGCATGTAGAACTGGTCTGTGGGTCCAATCCAACCCATAAGGACAGTTCCACACCACTCATTCAGCCCACGGTGCCACATTTCATTACTGCTCATAATCTTAGAAATATTGCTTAATTGTAACTAGGCTTCAGATGCAACAGAGATGACAGGGACAATTTACATGTGTTACAGGTGTAAATTCACTGAAGTCACTACAGTCACGGCAGATATGAAGCTGATCGTTTGATTTTCCATGCATAGAGAATTTAAGAGGACTGCTTCATACAGATTCAAGTTTTGTAAGTTTTTTTCAAAGTTACAAGCAATTTTTTTGTTTTAAATTAAGTTCTTCAGAAATTGATGGCTCAACCAAGGAAATGTTAATATGGCAATATTACCAACTTGATTTGAGCCCAGATTGAGGCATTTTATGTATGCATAGTCCCTCATTTTCAGATAATTCTTTCAGGACAAAACACCAAAATCATTTCCATGCTGTTTCTTGCTCTCAAAATTTGTCCACCTTTTTAGAAACAAGGCGACTAGAATCAAAACAACAGGTATGTTTGTTAGAGCCCTAAACAAAAAATTTCAACAATTTCTGAAATGTGTCTTCTTTCACTGGCACTGATCATCCTCAATTCAATGATTTAACTTGCTTATTAATACTAGACCTCTTACCTTGAACACTTCTGCTTAATGCTGGCTTTTGGTGGATCCTTAGTTTTTGTGATTTTTTCTTCAAACTACCAAAAAAAGCCAATAGATTAATTGATCCAAGCTCTACTGCAAACTTAGCTTTTTGAAAACAAAACACAAATCTGACTGTGACAGGGCGGGACCTGGGGGGCGCTGTGTCCTCCCCTCGTCCCTGCCCGACCATGCCAGATTAGGTTTCCTAATGCACCCTTGATCACTCGCCCGCCACATCTTTGATGTTTGGTTCGTTGAAGGCAGGCTGCCTCCCTCCCTCCCTGGCACGGTGCCTCTGATGCTCGCGCTTCTCACGCCCCACCTACTCGCGCTTCTCAATGCGCCCGCCCCCCCAGGGCCCCTCAATGCGCCCGCCCCCCCCGGGGCTTCTCCACATACAGACACTGCCCCCACTAGGGCCTATCCCTCCATGCTCACGCTCTTGCCCCTAACTGGGGCCTGTCTCGCGCTTCTCGCCCGCACTCGGGCCTTGCTCACGCTTCTCGCGCTCGGGGCTCAGGTGGCCTTGGCCCTACCTGGCCCCCAGACCCCTTCCTCGGGTCCTACGCCCACTGGGCTTCTCCCAATTGGGGCTCAGGCGGCCTCAGCCTTACCTGGCCCCCAGACCCCTTTCCTGGGTCTCACACCCCCTCCTGGGGCTCCTCAATAAAAACTCGCCCCCTCTGCCACACCCCCCCCTTAATTTCATGCCCACACTAGGGCCCTTACATGCTCTTCCCGCATTCTTATTTATCTCATCTCGCCGGCTCGGGTTCTTGGTCTCTGGTCATCTCTCCTCCCATTGGTGGAGGTTTTGAGGCGACTCCTGCTTGCCTCTTACCCAAGGGGCAACATATGGGATTTCTTGGGATGTGCCCTGCCACAGGCAGTCCCCCCACATTAGCCAACCTTGGTGTATCGCTGTCTCCGACCATCGAGATCCGGCCAATGCACCACTGTGACAGAACGGGGCCTGGGGGTCCGTGACCTCCCCTGGTGCCCCTACCTTCCGTGCCAGATTAGGTTTCCTGATGCACCCTCGATCACTCGCCTGCCACGTCTTTTTGATATTTGGTTCATTGAAGGGAGGCTGCCTTTCTCCCTCCCTGGAACGGTGCCTCTGATGCTCTCCACGTGCCCGCCCCCTGCCGGGGCCTCTCCACGTGCCCGCCCCCTGCCGGGGCCTCTCCACGTACAGACGCTGCCCCCTGCCGGGGCCTGTCCCTCTGTGCTCAGGCCCCAGTAGGGGCAAGAGCGTGAGCACGGAGGGACAGGCCCCAGTGGGGGCAGTGTCTGTATGTGGAGAGGCCCCAGTGGGGGGCGGGCGCGTGGAGAGCATCAGAGGCACCGTGCCAGGGAGGGAGAAAGGCAGCCTCCCTTCAATGAACCAAATATCAAAAAGACGTGGCAGGCGAGTGATCGAGGGTGCATCAGGAAACCTAATCTGGCACGGAAGGTAGGGGCACCAGGGGAGGTCACGGACCCCCAGGCCCCATTCTGTCACAGTGGTGCATTAAGGGGGGGTGTGTAGCAGAGGGGGCGAGTTTTTATTGAGGAGCCCCGGGACGGGGCGTGAGACCCAGGAAAGGGGTCTGGGGGCCAGGTAAGGCTGAGGCCGCCTGAGCCCCAATTGGGAGAAGCCCAGTGGGTGCAGGACCCGAGGAAGGGGTCTGGGGGCCAGGTAGGGCCGAGGCCACCTGAGCCCTGAGCACGAGAAGTGTGAGCAAGGCCCGAGTGCAAGCAGGGAGCGTGAAAAGTGTGAGGCATACGCCCCGGTTGGGGGCGAGAGGGCGGGGAGCACGAGACAGGCCCCAGTAGGGGCAAGAGCGTGTCTCGTGCTCCCCACCCCCAACTGGGGCCTATGCCTCGCGCTTCTCGCTCTCCCCGGCCGCACTCGGGCCTTGCTCGAGCTTCTCGCGCTCGGGGCTCGAGTGGCCTCGGCCCTACCTGGCCCCCAGACCCCTTCCTCGGGTCCTGCGCCCACTGGGCTTCTCCCAATTGGGGCTCAGGTGGCCTCAGCCTTACCTGGCCCCCAGACCCCTTTCCTGGGTCTCACGCCCCCTCCCAGGGCTCCTCAATAAAAACTCGCCCCCTCTGCTACACTGACCCTTAGTGTCTCAGAAACTGGTAATGTCTATTTGAGGCAGAAATCGACATGAATTAGTTTTCTAAGTCCCTCCAGTTCTAGAAGGTGCAGATGGTGGTTGTATAACAGAACGTCCCACCCACTGGAGACAGAATCTGGCATAGATGGTCACATGGGCTGATAGGCTGGAGATCTGTTTTGCTTTGGCAGGTTCATGTGGGGTGGGAAGGAGATAATAGGGACAAAAAGCACTATTCCTTACAGTTTGATCTGTACGCAACACACCCCCTACACAGCCACAAGAAAAAGACAAACAACTTTGTTCAACATAAAAAGGGGTTTTTTTGTTTGTTTTTTTTTATATACTTAATTTGGCAAGGAAGATCAGCTCCTACCTTATCCTTTTCCCCAGAACTTAAGAGATATAAGATTTCTTCGTTCTTACAATTTTGGGTATATAACAATAATCGTACTGTTCAGGAGATTTCAAGAATTAGTTTTTATGAGGGAATTCTTTGTCACCTGATTTATGTCAGATGGACTATTCAGGATGACAGTCTGGCTAATGGTGTGCATCTCCTGTTTAAAGGCAGCAATAACCAGAGAACCTTGAATGCAATGTTATTTGCCAATTTTGAAGAAACATTTCAAGTAAGTCAGGGCCAAACCAGAATAAGACAGTATTTGCATAAAAACACACACACAAGGGAACTGGGTTAAGCAATATTCCACAGGAAACCATGCCCCACGTAATGTACACCACTTCCTGAAAGCCCACAGGAAGACAACCAAGCAGAAATCCTACACTGGTAAGCTGTCACCAGTCCAAAAAAAAGCTGTGAGAAATCAATGCAAAGAATCTAAAACAGCATATATTTGTTAAAACTAATAGTCAGAACTTCTCACATATATCACTGTATAAAAAATAGCTGAGGCCCCATTAAGTTGCATTTGTATACCAGCTGCTTTCTTTTTACCCACTAGTAAACCTGTCACTAATACCACAACTGCTAACTCAACTAGGTTTTAAAAAAAAAAAAAAGAGATGTTAATTAAGGAAACTGAAGTATGTAAATACTGTTGAGACTGTCTAATACAATAGACAGCTTGCAATAACAATCTAAAAGTCTTCAATGGATCTTCCTTGCAAAATCAGAATTTTTAACAATTATTCTCAAATTTCACACTGATTTTTACTTACCTCACATTTCACAAGACCAGAAGAACTGAAGATAACAATTTTTGAAATGAGGCCACTACAATCAGGGGTGAAACATACTTCTTGAAGAAAATCCTGTGTGGGAAATAAAAGGTGAACAGAAAAGTATTCCACTTTGAATAAAAGTGTAAAGAGAGAACAGCATTCTGTGTAGAATTTGAGATGATTAAGAAAATTTAGACTGGAGAAAAAAAGGCTCAGACCTCTGCTCACATTAGCTTAAGGAAGCAAATCTCATATCAAACCTATGGGATTTTCTTCAGAATATTACCTTTCTACATATTATTAGAGAAGCCCCAACTTCCTCTTTGTAAGCAGTACAACCTCTGAAGGATGAAGCACTTCTACAAACATGAAGACTATTGATGCTGGCATAGCTTACTAGGAAAATAACCTCTACTCTGTATTTACATCCATGTAGCAAATGTACAATTAAACTGGACTGTTGGGGAGGGGGAAAATCAAACTGCCCAACTAAAGTACCAATTCAAGTGGTGAAATAGTATGGCTCCAAGACAGTACACTCACCTTAAGGATTTAAAGAAAAAGTAAATTCCTGGAAAATAAAAGGTTAACCAAATATTCCATTAGGAGGAAGAAAAGGGTTTCACCTTGTCATTTCTGTCATTGTATATTGTAGTTTTCAGCTTCTTCCAACAGCCGATGTGAAACTCCACTTTACATTGTTGACAGCACGTGAGACGTATAAAACCCTAAGAGAGAGAGAGAACGTAAACACATTAAAGGAATAGAAAAAGGAATAGTTTAACAAAAATTGTGCCTCATGGGATTTCAAAATTGTGCAAGGCAGATACTGCTAGCAAAAAGTTTAAATTCCCAAAGCTTTTTCTTTACATTTTTTTTTTTCTTACTTTACCTTAAAGTCCGGATCAGTAAAATAAATCTGGATTTTAGAATGACCACTGCACTCCTGATAACGACATACTGCATCAGGGGCTGGAGGGAACTTGCATTCCTCAATATAATCCTTCAGCATCAGCTACAAAACAATCAAGAAAACCTGCCGTAAACTTTGTGCATAAAAAAAATCTCCATATACCCCCCAAAAAGCAATGAGGACAAACCCTTTTACTTAAATTTTCAAAACACTATAGATAGGTGTCTGTAAAACAGATGCAAGGTGCTAGAAGAACAATTGTTTTCAGATACAATTTTTTAAAGTTTTCCCTACTGTGTCCCAGAACATTTTATAAGTACCTTTTTCACTTGTATAGCTATCACTTAGTACACATATCCTCTTCGCATACAGCTTCATCAAGTCAAGGTTATTTCATGTGTCTAATAATCCTACCTACTTTAGGACAGTTGATTGTTTTCCCTCCTCAGGCTACCCTGTGCCAAGAGGGGGAGTAGCATGCCTACAGAATCAAGGAGATCAAGGGAGTCTTTTAATTCACAATCTCTAAGTTGAAGTATGAGATTTTTTAAATGAACTGAGGAATTTAGCCATGATACCAATACAAATATTGGTATGAGTTTTATGACTCAATCTCCTAGTTTGTATCTTTTTTAAAAATTAGCCACCATGTCAATTTTTCATTTCACATTTGTGAGAAATTCCAATGTTTATCATCAGCTATGATTTCATGACAAATACCAAATAACAGAGCAATGTGTCAGAAATGAATTCATATACACCCTGGGTGTGTCTACAGGTGCATTATATTCGGGAATAATTTACTTGCGAGTAAGCGGTCCTAGGCAGGCATCCACACATGCAGGGAAGACGGAGCAATTTGCTGCAAATGGGAGCAAACTGCTCACGCTTTCTGGGGCCCTGTAATGGGTGCCTGCTGCAACCAGTGGGAGCTCTAGGCCCTCCCTGGGTGCTAGCCTAGGGTCTAGCAGGTAGCACTGGGCCAGGAGACAACCCGTCTCTTGGCTGGGGCTGAGACACTGCACCATGGGGGAGAGGAGGGGGGAGAGGGCTGCCTGCTGCCAAAACTATGTCCTTCTGCTTAGGCAGCAGGGAGCTCCTGGCCCTGGATCCCAGATTGGAGGTAGGGGACTTGGAATGACCTGCAGGGGAGGGGCAGGTCCCAGCTCCCTGCCCCGACTCACTAGTGGGGCAGCTAGCTTGGTAGCTAGCAGCAAACTAGCTGCCCCACCAGTGGGTCAGGGCAGGGGGCTGGGACCTGCCCCTCCCCTGCAGCTGTTTCCAAGCCCCATGCCTTGATCACTCGACAGGGGCACAGCACTGGGAACTGCCCCTGACCAAGACAGTTCCCAGGCTCTGCTGCATGATTGTGGGCAGGGGCTGGGAAACCTGTTCCCCACTCAGCCTGGTGATCAAGGAGCTGAGTGGGGAACAGGCTCTCCAGCCCCCACCAGCAGGGAGCTCCCAGTGCCAGCTCCCAGTCGCAGGGTCAGTGCTGGGAGTTCCTTACCTCCCACCCCAGACTCTGGCTTGTAGATAAGGATCTCCTAACACTGGCCCCACTATTGTGGAGGTGGGCGATAAGGATCTCCTGGCCCCTTAATTGCAATGATGAAGGGAGGGGGCTAGAAGATAAGGATCTCCCCGTCCCCACTTTCTGATAGCTATCTTGGAGAGCAGGGTGTGCAACTCCCTGATGTTGGGGCAAGGGCACATAGTCCCAGGCCTGGGCTCTGGTGACAGAGCCTGCCCCTACAGCAGGCAGCTCCTGCAGGCAGGGAGCAATCTCTTGCCCCCTGGTGGCTGGCTGAACAAAAGCAAATTTGCTCCTGGTCAGACATCTACACGAGTGCTACTGTGCAGTAAGTAATTGCAAATAAATTTGCTACTTGTATTTACAGGCAGCAAATTTACTCATGATTAGCAAGGTTTACTGCACAATAAGCATGGGTACATATAGACACACAAGCTTACTGCACAGTGAATTATGTTAGTACATAGTAAAGTATCTAGTGTAGATGCACCCTGCGTACCCCCCTTCTCCCCCATTAGAGCAGATTAACATTTAGAAACAAACACTCATACCACATAGAGCTGTCATAACTAGATTCCAGTTTATAAAAACTGGCATGCTTCAAAGGCAAAGGCAGTCACACAAGGAGCACTGACTAGCTTCTGTGGGAACAGATTACTGTTCTCCACAGATTGAGGTTTGAGTTGAAGATGATCTAAAATGGTGAGAAATACTACTAATGTTTCTGAAGAGCACTTCCTGTCTTTCTCTTGGCAATACCACAAAAAAGCTAAGTTTCATTCAAGCTAGAATACCTACATGAAATGTGCATCAAATCAGAACCACTCTCTTTCCCAAAGAACTGTCTGATTTCCAGAGTTTATATTACCTGTAACATTTCTGGCCGAGTCTCTTGAATAACCACAGAAGTTGTGGGCCAAGTTAATACTCCAGGTACAATCTTATGATTAACCATTGTCTGTGATTTCAGGAACTGATCCAGAGCATCTGAAAATCTAAGTTTCAAACAGATAACAGGATGTTTAGATTACATATCAAGAATCTCTATAACCATTTCATACAAATGTCTTACAGGGAATATAACACTTCATATGTGTGCAATTCATGTGGTCCTTAAGGAAACTGAGTTAACATACTACTTAAAAGTACCAAATTAAAATGGGCTGAAAGGAAAGGTTTAACAATTAAAAAGAAACAGAATATTTAGAACATATAAAATAAAATAATATATTTTAAGAGCACATCTGCTCTTATTTTTGCCCAATCCCAAAATCATTGAAGTTTTACATTGTACCAACCTGTTTTGTCTAAAATATACTTTTCCAATTCCATAATGTGCCAAGCAATTAAATCTCTCCTTCTGGTACTGTTCAATTACTTTGTTAAATTCATCTTCAGCCTTTGCTAATTCCTTCAAAATAAAATTAAAGAGAATCAATCACAGTCTATTTGAAAGAAGGAAAAAAACTTTTGGATAAAGTGTTATTAACTGCATCTTGTGTGTATTAATCAGCTCAAAGAACAATAAGGGTTTGATTGCATAGCTTGTTATGCAGATGTGAGAGAAAAAAAAAAAAAGAGACGGATGACTGACCACAGCTTGCATACCCCAAATTAAGCTTCTCCTTTAACTAGTCCATTCATTTTATTACTTTAGGGAGGCATGTGTACAAATGTTACCATTAGTCTTTAAACTTTCTAATGAATAAATCTAAACACTGTTTAAATCTCCAGTGAACATGCATTAAAAAGTATTGCTATTTTTAGACATATTCCAAAATACTGAATTTTATTTTTTAAATGAGGTAGACCTTTCGGGTGTTGTGCATTAAAGGACCAACATATTAAAAAGTCAACAAAAATAAAATGTATAACTATCTCCTCTATATATTAGAAAAAAGAAGGGAAGACAATAATTAATACAGGAAGAGATTTTTCCTTTATTAGCTTGGTCTTCAAATCCAATTTGAAAAAACTTAAAGTAATTTTCTTGATTGCCATATTAACTTCTCGAGCTCCAATAAAAAAAACAAACACTGCAGACAGTAGGCAATATGACTTCCTAACATCTAATAAAACCTCCTCTCCTGATATTTACTTAGTCTATTAAAGAGAGGCAAAAATGCACCACCTACTGTCTGGACTGGAATTAACACACCAATGAAAGAACTTTAGAAGTTTCAAGTCTTACCTCTGGCTGCCCTATTCCAAGAAGAGCAGTAGCATGCCCATAGATGATCACAACATAATCAATAACAGCAAGATTCAGCTTCTGCAACAGAATCAAGGGAATCAGATCAATAGAATATGTAAAGACTAAGTTACCAACCCTGAATTCTCTTCTGTGCCTTGATGTGCAAGTACTATTTATTACTACTACTAGTACTGATTGATAGGAAGAAAAAAAACAAAAAAAAACAAAACTGTCCGCACTGCTCATACCATCACTATCCTCCAGCAGCAAAAAAAAGAATCTTAAGATGGGTATAAAAAAGGAGCGTTAAGCTAGATAAAAAAAAGAAGGATTTCTGATCTTTTTTGGCTTACGGGGACCACATTCTAATCACCTGCGCATCTTGAGATATAGCATGGTAACTATCTGAAACCGATGCTCTTGGCAAAGTCACGACACAGCTTGGTAGGCTGCATTCACTGATAAAATGCATGACACTGGGTGTGTGTACACATGCAATTCATGGAAAGCAATAAACTCTGGAGCTTACTGCTCCCAGGCACGCTGTTTGAGTGTACAAATGGGGCCACAGCACACAGCCTGGTTGGAGCAGCCCCAGCTGGCAGGGGACCCCAGGGGCCAGCCTGATGGCCCAAGGCTGTTCCCCACCAGCTCAAGGTGCTGAGGAGGGGCTGGTTGGGGCATGACAGTGCTCCAGTGCAGGGCTAGCTGGCAGGCAGTCCCCAGACTGAAGTAGCCCTTATGCCCCAGCTAGCCAGGGCCGCATCTATACGTGCACTGCTGTGAAGTAAAAATCTCCGCAGCAGGATTGTACATATATTTACAAGTATTATCCTTTACAATCCTGGGGTGCTGTCCTTTGTAAGGGTGCTGCAGAATACTGCACAACGTTATTGTTAGGTGTGCAAACACCTACACAATTCACAAGCTAAACCAAGAGATCTTAAATATGAATCCACACTGTGAAAAGGGCCCTGACCTGTTTTTGTTGGGTTTTTTTCAGTCTTGTAATTGGACCAATACAGCATATGTTGCATCTCTTCCCTACATGCCACTCTATGTCTTTTTAGATTATAATTCCTTTAAACAGACTAGGTCTTCCTTTATATTTTATTTGTACAGTGCCTAGCACACAGTAGACCGAAGTGGAAACAAATAGTAATTATGATAATAAATGTTATTTTCAAAGGAAAGAAAGGTAGTGAAATATTCACAGGATAAAGCACACTGACCCTCAATAAACAGGTCAGAACTCTCCCCCTTAATTTCACCTTTAATTCTGAAGGATCCAGAATATTCATCAGCTGTGAAAAGGCCTGCTCAGCACTGCGACAGCGCTGGTCCATCAAGGCTGTATAGCCATCACAAACAAGAGATTTTAACATTTCTGGCAACGTAGTTGAATCCACCTAAAAAAGATATTAACAATCAAATTTTGGTTCACTATATTATAAAATAAGCCTAGTATTAAAAAAAAAAAGTTTACCTGATAGATGATTACCATCAGAATTCAGTATATCTGCATTTTAATTATAAACAATTATACCTTCCTACATTTAATTCAGTGTTGGCATTCAGTCAGATCCAAAGCATCTCTGAACGGCCAATTTGGGTGAGTTTAAGAAAATTCTGTTCCCATTCTGAAATAACTTCACTGGCTTCCCGTTTATTTCAAAGTCAGTTAAAAGTTATTCTATTTCAGTGCTCATTAGACTTGCTCCAGCCTACTTTACAGACCTATTCACTCTAGTCCTCAGTTCAAATCTAGGCTTCTGTCTCTTCACCCAACTTCACCAGTTGAGTTCAAGTTTCCTTTTCAGCACTTTTGCCATCTAAAATTAGGCTTTCTGTGTATTTTTCTCCTCGTGCTGTCCAGTCCATGTAAAACAATTCCCTCTTGCCTGTATGTTCTCCCTTGGTCTTGGTTCATATTTAATGCTGAAATATCTTGGGATTAATTAAAATGACTGCACAAGTGTTACTCCTCCAGGTCACTTCCAAACATGGTATTATGTTTTTGATTTCAGATCTATGTTCTGAACAACAGGGCAGATCTTCCTGCTGGCAGATACCTATGAAGTCAGTGGAGCTACATGCCAGTGCACCACTCATTCCCCAGGGACACAGCTGAGTGATTGTGTTTTGAACAAATAATTAAAAGAAATCAAAACAGTTTAATTTCAAAGCAGCAACTATTTGTCAAAGTACAACAGACAAGGGTTTTTACAACATAAGCAGAGTAATATAAAATGTACAAATACTATACTGTTTGTGTCAGGTGGACCTGTTTTATAAGCTACCATCACTAGGACACATTAACGTATGATGGAACTTAAATTAAAATAAAATGAAAAGTCAAGCCCATAATTTTCTCTCCAGTCGTCAGAAGGCAGAGCAAGGATGTAAAAAAAGTGGGGAAATTTCTGGAAGTAAGGAAGACATGAGCTTAAGTTGCCCAATTGGCTGGTGGCACATGAGGCTAAATGGCACTGTGGAGTATTATTTTTAGCTATATCAGAGGATAGAAAGTACGAAAAGATGCCCTTCTTATCTTTTATATACATTTATGCAAACACATTTAAAATCACCACTAATACCGTGACAAGCTGAACAATGCAAAGCAGTTAATTATTAAGGCTGTATTCTTAAGTCATGCTTAAAAGTACAGCTTCGCATACTTAGAAATAACCCACTTTTATTTTCATATACTTTTTAAAATAATGATTAGGAAGTTGTTTCTCATGTCCAAGGTAATACTACCATTTTCTTGAATATATTAAATATCTGAAATAATACTAGCCTGTGGAAACATGAGCAGCATACATACAATTGTAAAATGTAAAGTTTTATATCTTAAGAGTTTTATCTTGCTAAAATTCTCTGTGGAGAATTAAGTGTCAGAAGTCAAGCTGTAAGAATGCTAAATTCATTCCAAAATAGAAAGGTTACTATGATAGTCTAGTTTGTGAAAATATTCCAAATATTTGTTGTCTTTTAAAAACAAAATGTAGAATGTAGGAAGAATGGTGATGGTAAAATTAGTCATAAATATGAAGCTTGTTACACTGCTAATGGATGAATATTTAAGTGATTGGTTGTTCGTGTCTTTTGTTTTTTAGGTTTTCATACCAAATTTCCTCTATATTGGTGACAATGTACCACATCCTATTCCATCACGAGGCATCCAAGGACTACTTAAAGTGATCCAGTTCAAGTCACTGATGCAAAAAGGAAGCAGGTAAGCCTCTTCCTCCTTGCTACTTTTTGTGACTTTGCCTTAAAGACAAAAATACACAAAAGTAGACAGAACCAATACCCCAAGCCAGGTATACTAGCTTGTTCTTTAAAGCACCTTCCAATATGGATCAGAGATTTTTTTTTTTGCCAGGTGGTAGAAGGTTTGGACTAAAACTCAGTAAGGCTTCAGGTTCATTGTGACATGCAAATATATGCTTGTCAGAAAGAAGCATGCTAAAACAATATCAGATGTAAACTGGCTAAGTGAGTAGATCAAGTATACCATGTTGGTCTAATAAGTATTAAAAATTCAGCAGTGGTATTTAAATGTTGCTTTCAACATCACACAGTTTATTCATAAAGAGACACAAAAGAAGTTTTTTAAGTTAAGATCTTAACATTTTGTGGTTTTCTTCAGTTACCTGTCGGACAGCACTGCAGAATTTATCTTGGACATTTTTAGAGTCAATCTTCAAATTCAGGTGTTCTCTACAATTAAAGACAGTATTATCATAAGCTCAATTTCCAAGTCAGAGTATGCAGATACACATTATGATATATCCCATTATGCAAAAAGCAAGAAAAGTCCTTTGCTTATATAACTGCACGACAACATTTGACTTGGTACTACCCCATGGTCAAGGGCAGCAAACATTTTCTGCCTAAGATACAAATCTCTAAGATTTCAGAAGAATCTTTTATCCCCAGAGTAAACTGAGCAACAACCTGGTATATACAAATAGGAATATGATCACTGAACAAATATCCACCTCCTTAAAAAAAGGACCAACAATATTTTCCTTTATGAGCTGAACAAACATTACCCCTTCATCTAACTCAAGAAAAAACTGTTAACTCTTCTTAAGTGAAACTGAAAAGCCATGCAAACTGAAGGAAAATGATTAAGCAAGATCTTGCACCATCTTAAACTGGTAAAATTCACAATTTATGTGAAAACCATGAATATTTCCATCTCTTTGTATATCATTGGGCAAATTACTTATTCCATATTTCATTTATGAATCTGTTGAACAGATGATAATTCTTACTTTCTCCTACTCTGTCTTATTTATATTACAGTCTTTAAGATGGATGAACCTCTTTGCTAGGTTAGTGAGGGCTAACCTTTTTGGCAGCCCTGCCATAAATTAGCCCAGCACCCTCTCCAAGTGACATTCTTCCCCTGCCCAATCTGCAACTCTGCTTCCTTCTCCCTGTTTAGTATGCCCTATCTAATCTGCTGCTCTACTTTCTGCTACCTGGCCTATATGCCACTGCATTGCTTATCACCTCCATCTGCCAGGGGCCACTCAGAGGCCATGTGTGGCTGCTCCTGCTCTGGGCCATAAGTGGCATGGGCAGCCTCTGTTGTGGGGCACATGGCAGACAAGAAGGAGCAAGGAACAAAGCAGCAGATAGGATAAAGAGCAAAAAGAAGGGCAACAGATCAGAAAAGGGGCAAGGAGTGGAGAGCCGGGCAACAGATTGGGCAGGAAAAGGGGATCAGAGTGGTACTTGGAAGGCACAGGGTTTACCTTGCGACACAGTTACCAAAAAGATTGGCCCCACTGCTCTAGGCCAAGAGTGTCAAACATCTGATCTACGAGGCTTCTCATAGGCTACATCACCCACCTTGAGTCTGGATTTGGTTTGTGGGGCCACCAGAACCCCTATGGCAGCGGTGTTGATCCCAATGGCTGCTTGAGCTGCTGTTTCAGCACAGCTGCAGAACCCAGGGAGTTTAACTGATCACTTATGTCCATCCCTTCCTGCCGCCTAAAATCAAGGTTTGTCAACCCCCCGGAAACTAAAATCAGTTGGGGGAGGGAAGGGGGAAGGAAGGGGCAAGGGGCTGAGCAGCAGCCACAGGGAGTAACACCACTGTCACTGCACACACGGTCTTTCCAGCACACAAGGCCCTACAATTTGCCCACCCCTGCTGTAGGCCATACAGAAATATAAAACAGAAACAGACTTCAGTTTTAAGAACCCCCTAGGTTTTACGGGTTCTATACATGTTTTTAACAACTGATCTGACACTGCCCCAAAAACTGAACAGATGTACAGTATTTAGCTTTTGGACAGAACATACATGCACATGCTTAAAAATTAAAAACATTAACACTCCCATTGCCTACACTGGAATCACTCACAGTTAAATTCGAAAACCTGTTGACAAAAAGAAATTCTGTACTCTCAGTTCTGAAAATGGTTGAAAATGTGTTCCTGTGGCCAAGGCAGTTCTTTTATGTCTTTTTTGTGTTACTATTTGGGCATATCTAAATGAGATGTTTACTGTGGAGTTGCCTAATTAGCAATGCAGTAAACATTTTAGCATCTACACACTGCACCCCCATTAGGCTGCAGGAAACTAATAAACTCCACAGCAGGTTAACACTCGTAAAGACAAGTACTTTCCTGCTGCAGATTTAAAAAAAGAGCAGCAACGCATGTAGATGCTGACCCAGCTGGCTGGGGCAAGAAGATGCTTCAGTGTTGGGGCTGCATGCTGGCTAGCCCTGCAATGAAACACCTTCATGCCCCAGCCAGCCCCTCTGCAGCACACCGACCTGCTTCAGAGCAGCCATGAGTTGCCAGGCTGACCCCCAGGACCCTCTGCCAGCTGGGGCTGCTCAGACTCATCTCAACGTGCTGTCAGCCTGGGTGCACATGTAAATGCAGTGCCCTGGAGCAATCAACTCCAGTGTGATATGCACCGGAGTTTATTGCTGCACATTAAATACACATGTGCATCCTCTGAGTATTAAAACATCCATGATATCAAATGATAATCCAAGATATCTGGCCGCTTAGAAAGCTACAACACATTTTGTTTTTTTACTTCAAACGAATTTTTTTATTGTAAAAAAAAAAAAAACTTGAAAATATACAAGACAGCAATAATACTTTTGAAGTCCCTTAAAAATAATTTATAAATCCCTATGTGCCATACAGGAGCCCTGCTATGCCTCTGGACAGCACTATGATCTGCCAGGCAGAAGGCTTTGACTCAGAAATATCACAATAATCATATCAGCATGGCCCAAAATTTAACAAGGATCAGGCTATTTCTTATGGGTTGAAGATAGCATGCCAAGTTGGAATTAGAGTTCTCAGAGGTAACCTGTCTGCTACATACAGACAAGAGCACATGCAAGGCCTTGAAAATATGATACAAACTAAGTTATGCTGATAGGAGTACATTTTGACCAAATAATTAGAACAAGATCCACATTATCTTACACTGTCCAATAAACACAGTCATTGTTATGTCTAACGTAACCAATTTATAAGAGAAACAGCTAAAAAGATACAAATACCATGGTAGTTTTAAGAAACATCAAGTCATTTAACAAGAATTTTCATATTATGCATTTATTTATACATGGCTCACAAACAAAACTCCAAACATTAGCACAGGCTCTCCTTGAAAGCTGATTAAAATAAATTTAAATCAACAGTTAAAGTGCAGGTTTTCCTTGAAATGTTAAGTTTAAAATGGCACACTAGGTCAAGTAAAAAAGCAATTTTCTGTAACTTTCAGCAAAGCATAGTTTCACACTAATTCTCTTTCATTAACCTTAATTCCCCTTTATCATTAACACCATAACAAAAATCACAGGGTCAATTTATACCTTCAGCTACTGCAGGAATAACAAAACAACTAAACTGAGGCTGCAAGAATGAAAGCTTGAGTACATAATGAGTAACTTATAACTGAATTAAAAGTCCTAAAATGCCCAATTACTATAATGATATTACAGCTAAAAATGTGAGCCAAAAACTCCTGCAGTGTCTAGATATATACAGGTCTACCAAAGGATTTTTTGATTACCTTTGATAAAGTGCCCAGTCACATCAAGAATGAAGTAAAGGGCAAACTGACAATCTAAATAATAATTTTTAAGAAGTGCTACAGCCCATGAAAATCCTTAAAAGACTTCATTTTTACTTTCGTTTAGTCAATTACGTTAAAATTTTGTATTCAGGTGTTGATTATTCTAGATACTTTTTTTAGATTACTAAAAAGAATTTAAAGAAAAAATGAACAAACTTAAAGGAAGATTAAAATATAGAAGTATTATTTTGGTTATGTTCTCCTGTGTTTTGTTTGTTATTGAAGACAGGATTTATCATCAGAGGTTTTGCTTTTTCAGTTTACTTTCTACCCCTTGATCCCTTACTAAATCATAACCTTATGCCTAGGAAAAATATCTACTACTATAAAATAATTCAATGTTATAGCCTTCAACAGAGGATGAAAAAGCTGTTTTCACCAGCTTTTTCAACTTAAAAAATACATCATCAGTAAAAAGCAAACAAAATGTATTAAAACATTCAAAATGTACATTTAACCTTCTATCTGATCTATTTTAACACTTCCAAGATAAAAGTTGTCCTTATAAAAATAAAATAAAAATAGGGAAAATAAAAAATTTCAGTAGTGTCATCCCAAAAGTTTTCATCCTAAAAAGCAACTCATGATAAACTATACTCACCTTGCCTTTTCAGAAACACTGGTTTTGTTCTTTGGCTTTCCTTTATTTTGGTGATTCTGTCCTATTATGGAATAATGGCAGTTTATAAAATGAAAACAATGTAAAAAAGGCATCAACTTAAGTCACATTTTAATCCAATTCATTTTATCCATTTGATCCAACTCCGTGTAGTTTCTCCCTTTCTAAAAGTCACCCAACAAAGCAGCACAGCAATTTATAAAAAAAAGTCAGGCCATTAATTAACAGGAAGATATATCAGAAATAGAAATTTAAGATGTACTTAAAAATGTAGTGTGTATTTGCAAAATCCCAATCTAACTAAAGTAAATTTCCTACTTATAGTTTTTAAAGGGAAACCATACACAAACTTAATACACAGTATTATTTCAAGTTTTGGTATTTAACTAAAGACATTCCCATCTTTAAAAACATGCTGTTGAATGAAAAAAACTCAGTAAATTCAAGTCACAGGTTCTCTTGAAGAATGAAAGAAAGGAGAAGAAACACACCAGTCATTTTCTCTTACCTATGCCAGGCTATATTCCACAGCATCAAAATTTGAACTTCTCCACAGCATTAATCAGGCAACTATAACTGAGATCCAATTTTCTATACTACTTATTTCATCATGGAAGTTCTCAAAATGATGATTTTGTACACTGATGCTAAGACACCTTAAGGTCATGGTTTTCCAAAAGTAGAGTACTCAGAAAATCACCTCCATTTGAGATTTTTTAGCAGTGGGCAAATGAAAAAAGGTTGGGAAAGAAAAAGAAAGTGACTGGTCTAAAATATTGTTGGACTTCAGACCACTGACAGATCTGTATTGAATTCTGTGCCTGCAAATGTTTGATAATTCAACAAGCAGAGACACATTATTGCTGAACATAGCCCTGCTGAGTCCTTATGACTCAAACACACAATATCAATAAGGTAATACTGATTCAGTACCAACAATGATACGAGTTCATAAAATTAAAAAAAAAAAGTCATCAAGGATAACTGCACTGAAAACAATGATAAACAAGCACTTTATATAAACTCCAATGATTACACATCATATATTTAGATATGAAGGTGGCCAACTCAGTTTATGGCAGCCTGTAATTTAATACTTAGTCTAGAATCAGCTAAAGAACATATAGAACATGCTGCTTTAACACCCATCTTGTTTTCAGACAAAAGCCAAGGAGTCAACTGACCAAATGCAAAAGATTTTTGATTATTTGCTTGCCCTGAGCTTGAAGGATGTGTAATGTAAGACTGCGTTAATTGTATAGTTCACATTGTCAAAACAGTCACAAACCAGACAACCTATGAAAAACAGGAAAATAACTTAGCCTGGAGGAACATCTTTGTTGAGAGCAAAAGGAAGACAGACTTAGCTAGTCATTCCGACATGGCTGTTATACAAGTTGTGCATAAGAAAAATGCAAGAAAATATGATCAATTATTACAAAATGTAAAAGTTGCATGGACATGATATCGCACACCACAAACTTCAGTCCAAAAATGAAACAATGCCACCTATGTTTCTGTTCTTCCCTCAATACAGTTCACTTTTAAAATAAAAAACAGAAAAACAAGTTTTCATATGCAATACAAGCTCTCCTCCAAATAAATCACCCAGAGCAACATTATTTATCTCATAAGAACTAATATGGATCATTTCAATCTCCTCTGAGAATATGAAATATGAAGAAAGCCAAGTGTGAACTACTTACCCCAGAAATACCGTAATGCATTAGAAGTAACACTAGTTCTACTAGGAAGTGCCATTAAGAACAAGCAAAAAAAATATACTACAGAAAAGCAAATGCGCTCAAAAAAATACATTAAAACAAAGTTTCAAAGGAAAATATGCTAAATGCTAATTAATTAAAAATTTAAAAGAATGGCACGGAAGTCCCATATATAAAAACTCCCACAATCCATAGGCCTTTCATTGAACAAAGAGCCTGGGAAAGAAAAATGAAAGCTTTACCTCCACCCACCTAAAGCCTGTAACAATTAGTCATGCACAACCTAACTCCTCCTCCCAAATCAAGGCCAAACAAAATACTTCCTCTAAATCAGTACTGACACAAGATCTCTTGTACCGCAGACTTTTTTTTGGGGGGTGGGATTCCAAGAAAAAAAAATCTGCCTTCTCAACTACTAAAAGTTTTGCAAGAATTGGTCCTTTTTCAAAAGCTGGTCATGTGCAAGTAACTTGGGGTTTTTATAAGACAGAAAAGAAAAGAGTAGAAAATAAAGTCCTAAGGAATAAAACACTGCCTGCTGCTCCAAAATTTATACTTTCTCCCCACATAAAGCAGCTGTCTTCAGTTTGGTATTACTGTGTAGTAGGTACCTTTCTTTTTTTTTTCCAGCAGAAAGAATAAATTTAACATGGCTGTGCTCCAGTATTAAAAGACACTGGTATTCATGAATTCATTGAGTCTTGAAATTACACCCACCTCTCCTCCTCACTATTTTTTAAAAATCCTATTCTTGAATCAAAGGGGACAAAAAAAATCTAACTGGCTCCCCTTGCCTGACTCGGTTATCCTGTCTTCCACAGTTTAGTTCCACTTGATTATCTCAAATGCATGCTGACAAATATGCTAACTAAGGGTGCAGCACGACAATAACTAAAGAAAAACACATACTGAATTCTCCTCTATAGTAAGAAGCAGACAAATGATTGCCTATCCCAAGCTACCTCCCTAAAGTAGGTGCTATTACAACACATTGGCAGACAAGGTTCTGTGTGTAACTGGCACTAGGTGACAGGAAAGCTTCACTGAGCAAAGGGCTTCTTCCCTGGGAGCGGACATACATGTTCCATATAGCAACTTTCACATACAGTAAAGTTCAACACATTTTCCAAGGGGTAGCTCTACCTGGATTTGAGTGATTTACTGAGTAGCAAGGCTGCCCACCCTACTTTTTACTAGGTAGTAAGCATGTGCAACTGCACCTAACAAAGGATGAAGAAAACTGGAAAGACACAAGTTGTTCAGTACTCACATTCCAGAATGATTCCAGAAATAAGAATGAAATATGTAATACACAATAGTTTACAGAGTTTTTAGTACAACATATTAAATTTCAAGTTTTCTTGACTGACAAAACAGTTATTTTAAAAAAACCACCCTGTCAAATTGCTATTACTGTCAGTGCTAACTCAGATGGGGTACAAAGTAAAAAATTAACTCACCTGATGGTAACTCTGAATTATTCTCTTTACTTAGGGTATCAGTGGAGACCTATTGATACAGAACAAACATACATAGCTTTGAAAAGTCAAGAGCCACAATTTTTGATACATGGACAAGAAAGGGAAAGACGACAATAGTTCAATCTAAAAACATGTTTAAACTGAAAATGACAATTAGGTCAGCATTATCTAGGACAATTATATTAAAATACATCAGTCTGTATCACCAGGGCCCCCCTTGGAGTCACTAGGAACAATGGCCACAAGCTGAGGGAGGATAGGTTTAGGTTAGATATTAGGAAGAACTACTTCACTGTAAGGGTGGCCAGAGCCTGGAATAGGCTTCCCAGAGAGGTGGTGCTCTCACCTTCCCTGGAAATCTTCAAGAGGAGACTGGCTAGGCACCTGGCTGGGGTCTTATGACCCCTGCCACCCCCAGTGCTCCTTCCTGCCCATGGCAGGGGGTCAGACTAGATGATCTGTCTAGGTCCCTTCCGACTCACTGATTCTATGATTCAATAAATAAAATCAGAATTAGAAGTGATTAAGAGAGGAAGGAAGAACAGGGAAGTGGTTCTTGACAGATTAAGTACTTAATTACACTCCTGTAGCAGCAGAATCAGTGTCCTAAATTGGAGGTTGCCAACCAGGGGGTATGCATACCCCTGGGGGGTCTTGTGAAGCCCCCAGGGGGTACATAGCAGTGGAACAGAGAAGTGGGGGGCACTTCTGGTTTCACTGGTGGTGCTCTGGGGTTTGCCACAGGGAACCACCCCCCTGCTCGACCGGCCGGGGGACTCCCTGCTTCTGGACTGGCTGCTGGGAATGCACCAAATCAAAAAAAGTTGAAAACCCCCATTCTAAATTGTGTGTAGTCTGTTCAAAGACAGTTTCAGTGCGAGAAGACTGAGGCCCACACTTAATGGCAGACTGTGAAAATGAAGGACACTGGGTAGAAGAGGGGTTATCCTTTTTAGCTTACTTTTCAAATGAAACAAAAAAGACAATATATAAAAAAGGTAAAAAACCGCAGAGAAGAGTCTTCTACTTAAGAATCATAGGCTGCATTCAAGGGATTTCTATTTTGTACTCAGTCCAGTCAGACTGCTGCCTCCCCAACAGAAGCATCTTTTTTCTTTATGCCAAATTACAGAGCATAATCTGAGCAGTCCAGCTGGTGGCACATTGTTTGCATGTGGCCAGTGAGGCGTTAACAGGATTGGCTCCCGTTCCCTGCATCCCCCCAGCCACTCCAGCCCTAACATCACTTGGAATCTCTCAGCTTCCCCTCCTTCCTCCGAGTTCTGCTGCCTGCCCACACCCGAGGGGGCTGAACAACTCAGCAAACCTTAAATATCAGAGAGAAAAAAAAATGTGTATGTCCAAATGACAGCTTCTCTTCAAAAAATAAATAAATAAATAAATAAATAATAATAATAAAAATTAAAACCTACTATTTTATTTGAATTGCCGTTCTGTTCCCCAATAGAATGATCAAGTTTGAAAAGAAAGCTATTTCACAACCAACTTTAATGTATAAAATTTGAATCTCTTACACACCCAGTATATTTCATAGATGGGGTTTCTGGCCCATTTTTTCTTTGAAAAGATGGGCCATTTCATTTAAGTCTGTATCAATCCAATGTTATGACTGATGCCTACAGAGCCTTTGTGTACAACTCAAATAATCAACATTTTAGTTCTTAGAGCAGCTAAGATATTCTTATATTACAACACATACAAAACACTACCAACCCTCCCAAAATATTTCTTATTCACAATAAAGCCAAAAATGCTGCTAAAGTAGGAAACAACTTGATTTGTTGAAAGTGCATTTATAATTTCAGCTATAAATCTGCATTAATAGGTTCTAAAAAACATCATGGTTGTACATGGATGGTGAGATGCATCTTAAATAAGGTGGATTTAAGATTTTTTCCAACTGCTACATGATCAGATTTTGCATGCAACAATTGTCACATCCAAAAAAAAAAAACCAATAAGTCAAACACTATCATTAAGAACATTTAAATTTGTAAAAATCTAAAAGTTTACTAAAACACCGATTAACTGAAAAATATCCTGTCACATTCTTTGCATTAAATAATGAAATCTGCTCTCATGCTACTTTTTTATGACCACCATCTCTCTGAAAAAGGTGAAGTGATAAAGCACTTGTTACATTTATATAATATGATTTAACTTTCATATTAAGTTTTTCCATTATTTCACACTGCTAAAATACTACCCTTTTTTTGTTCACAGTACAGAAAGTATTTAATCAGCAACGTCTGGGCAAACCTACATTATGACATAGGTTTGTCCATATTTGTTACCTGCCTCAACAGGTAACAATTTTTCACAAGATGCTGTTCCAAAACAAATACAATTTAAAATCTTCAAAATGTCCTTTTACATTCTGAATATCTGCACTTCCTCTGTTTTTGAGACAAGCATCGTAATTCCCTAACCCTCTATTTCCTCATTCTTTGCTCTTTCCCCTTGGTTTCAGTTCTCTGTAAATGAGTCAGCTTTTCTATCCAGCGACACCCTTGCATAAGTTTCTGCTAATCTTTCATACCTGTATAGTACTTAAGTATTTTACACTACTAAAAGAGCCACATTATTCATTATCTTGGTTCCAGTTATATCTAGCATAAGTAACCAACTAATTTTGTGCAATTAATAAGTAGACATTAACACACTGAAAACCTTTCTGTTTTATTTCATCTAGTTTGGGAATGCAGCTTTTATGATCATCACAAGATGAGTGATGAAAGTCTTGTTGTAGCAAAACCCCCAGCTTTTCTTTTCTTTTTTATTTTAAAATGCTTTCCCTCCCTTTCCCCAACCATTTCTGACTTTTTCTCTCCCTCTCTATTCCCTATAGATAAGAATAAGTAAGCTAAGTTGTAGGATAAGCTTTAACATTTTATTTTAGGTAGTAAGTTTTAATTCTCTCTCCCCTCTTTGCAAATAAGTGCCCTGCTATCTTGATATAGATACCCACTGTTTTATAAAAAAGTGATAATTATTACGTTTGTATTGATTTTTCACTGCTTTTATATTATGTGATTATTGTTTTAGGCCTACATATGTAAGTTAGCATAAGTCATGTTAAGCTTCCATTTTGTTTGTCAAGTCTCCATCTTGTTCCCCATGCCCCACTGTATAACCTATGACTTGTACCTACCCCTCCTATGTAACTTGGTTCCTGAATGAATGGGGACAAATGAGAGACAATGGCAGTGGGTCTAAAAATAGCTTCCTCTGAACCATCAACACCAATACCTGGACCACCGACCCAGTCCTTGGAACCACCCTCAGTGTTCAAGAAACAAAAGATGAGGTGAGGCAACCTTCCATTGTGCCGAGCTGCACACGCTCAGTAAGAACACCTGGAGCCCTCTGGGACAGGACTGACCTTGTCTGGACAGACCCTCCCCATAGGAGATCAGAATTGGCCTGACCCCACACAGAAACACTGCTTACCCAGATAGGAGTGCAAACCATTGCAGAACTGGCACAATTTATGATAGTGTCATCTCATTTTTTAATCAGTGAAAATTATCCTGGCTTCAAACTAGGATAAACAGAATTTTTTCAAATGATGCCTATGCTAATTATTTCAGAGATTTAGTTGTAGCCATGTTGGTCTAAAGGCACAGGCAAACAAAACTCTTGGTTTAGACAATTCTATCCAGCCCATGGGGCCCCTAAAAAATGTAGAAAATTAATATTTCTCTGCCCTTGGTTCCTGTCACAAGTGACAGGAGCAAAGGGCAGTAGGACCCAGGGGAAGCCCAGCAGGCTCCAACAACAGCAGGGCCTACCTGGCACCGCCCCCCCAGCCAGAAGCCCCTCCCAGGACTTCTGGCCTGGGAGCATGTGGCTGCCCTGTGCTGGAACTGCAGGTAAGCTGGGGGGAGAAGGGCAGGGGGGACTCCAGGAAGGGAAGGAGCACGGGAGGGAAGCAGCCCCTTCCCTGCCCCATGCTGCAGCTGCTTGGAGCCCACATGGGGCTGCCTGTGCCCGCTCCAGACACCCCTCAGGCTGCAAGTGGCTGTAGCAGGGAGCGCCGGCCATGGGGCCAGCGAGTGGCCACACCCCCCTGCCGCTTTTCCCTGGGCTCCTTCCCTGTGTGGAGAAAAGCAGCTCCTTGTCCGCCCCATGGCTGGCACTCCCTGCTGCAGGTTCTTGCAGCCCACGTGGGGCTGTCTGGAGCAAGCACAGGCAGCCCCAGGCCAGCTGCGAGCAGCTGTAGCGTGGGGCACAGGGCGGGCAAGGGGCTGCTTCCCCAGCACCACCTTGTAACCTAGCCCCACTGCCAGGCTGGCAGCAGGGTTGGGTTACAAGCCGGTGCTGAGCACAGGGAAAAGCGGTCCCTTGCTTGCTGTGTGGCCGCTGCCTCACGCTGCAGCCACTTGCAGCCCATGTGGGCTGCGAGCAGCTTCAGCAGGGAGCACCAGCCACGGGGTGGGCAAGGGGCCACTTTTCCCTGTGCTCAGCACCAGCTTCTTCCCTGCTGGCAAGCAGGGGGTCAGGTCTGTGCACTGCCCCCTGCCTGTACCGCGGGTCTGGGGGGCAGTGGGTGTGAGTGGGTAGGGAGCCAGTGGGAGCAAGGGGCCCACACCGGGGCCAGTGCCAGCAAGGCCCAGACCAGAGTCGCAGGAACACGGCGTCCCAGCCAGCAGGGGCTCTATGGAGCCAGGGCAGCTCCCTCTCTCCCTGCTGGTGCAGCCCAGTCTGACTCCACAGACCCCTGCCAGCCTGCACCCCGCTTTGGGCCCCACTGGTGATGGCCCTGGGACACTGGTCCCAAGATGGTGACCAGGGGGCGAGGCACCTGTCAAGGGGCAGCCAGCTATCACTATAAAGAATGAACACAAAAAGGTTTTGAATCTGTCCACCTGCAGGAAGGAGTTTTGGGTGCATCCAACAAGACCCGACTCCATTCCTTGTGGCTGGTCTGGTACCACACTGACCTGAGCAACTTTAGAACTTGGTAACACCTTAACCTCTGCAGGGCTGTCTAACTAACTATCTGTGTGTGTGCTTGTTTCTTTTGTATGAATGAATGAGTATGTATGGGAATGGGTGAAGCAGATAAAACATAAAAGGAATAAACAACAGTAAGGTTATGTTCCAATAAATGCGGCGGTATGCCTTATCCCCTGATAAGATTCCTGCTTGTTTTTAATTCACACCGTATGCCCTTTGGAACAATACAAACTGTAATTTTTGGAAAAACTGTAAACTTTAGATACAAAAACACAACAAGAAAACATATTGTAAGTCTGGGTATCCTAATTAATTGAATGTACAATCTAATCAAAAATAGTAATAAAGTTCTTCTTCCACACTAAAGTTGGTCCACAAAAAAATCATGAAAGCCTCATTTAAGCATGAGGCTCTCAAGCATCTTTTACTGATCTCCCCTGTAGCAGTACACCCTGACTCGTTCATCTCCTGAGCCAAAAAGATGGACTGACTCTGTAAGTAGGTAAGTAGGGATGTTTTTCTGGCCACTGAAGCAGTAGCATTCCCGATCTCGCTTCCAATGAGCCCATGATATTGCCACCTACTCCTACTGGGATTTAGCTGTTCTCTATAGCCAGCTCCTGAACTACCAATTTACAATCATTCCTTCAAATCTAGAAATGGGCAAGGAGGGCAAGAACCAAGATACATAGCTTGCATCACAGAAAAATTCACATGGAACACAGAATGGCTTCATGATTCAGAACAGAGAAGGAGCATAAAAACTGCTGGCAGACTTTTTCCCCACCTAAAACATTATCAGCCACCAAGGGAATCAAGGAAGGGATAATGAGTAGAGGGCCAAATTTACTGGACTCCAGTTATCAGTAAGGACAGTTTCTAAATAGAAATACCAACCACAAAAGATGTATTTACCAAGGAAATACGTGTTTTGAAGATCACATAAATTAAAGTTATAAACGAGTGCTGCAAAATTTAGGCTACACCGCTTCATAAAACATGCACCCGAAGTATTCAGTTCTTCTCTCAAGGACATTGCATTCCAACAGTCCTCAAGAGAAGAACTGAATCTCAAGGAATGTTTTGTATCCACATGTTCTTATAAAACAGTTCCTAATTCTAGTCATAAATTGTATAATTCAAAGATCAAAATTACCTTGATATCATGTTTTAGATTGCAACTTTGGTCTTTAGAGTCAGACTGTGTGGTCCTCTTTTCTTTGTGCGTTTCTTTTGGCTCTTGAGAAGTGAATAAATTAGGTTTGGAAGAACCAGAGTCTCTAATGAAAAAACAAAAATTGTGTTTCCAGTGCCGGTTATTCATACTTAAGACAATATATACAGCATTAAAAAAAAACACCCACCACAACTTAGGGATGATTAAAAGATTCTGCCATTTAACCCCCCATTGAAGACTATGGTAACCATTAATCAAAAATCACCTCTCACTAAAAAAAAAAACCAAACATAACAAAGAAAGAGACAACACCCCACTCAAAAAATTGAAGTGATAAATTTTGTAAAGAATGTGCATTATTTGGTTCCCATCTACAAATAAACCCTGTCCACCATGCCTTAGCAAATTTTGTCTCTACAATACACAAATGGAAAATACAGAGCAAGTTTCTTCTGGTCATTAATTCTCATGGCAAATTAAATTTAAATGGTACTCTCTCTTTTTTAAATGGCAGTTGCCATAATAAGTACAAGTGCAACAGTTACACAATGAATCTTTTAACAAAATTTAGTCTAACTGTTGCAGGTTTTTACTACAAATATAGCTCTGCAAACAGCCACTAACAGGGGGCGGGGGACCCTTAAGATTTCAGGGTCTGTACAGTTATCCTGCTCTACATGGATGGAACAAAAACATCCTAGATCTGCCCATGTCCAGATCCAGCCTGTGGCCTGCATGTTGTCAACCTCCTCTTCAATATTAAGCACCCTGACGACTTTACATTAATTGGTAATTTTTATAAATTAAAAGTAAATGAAATTTGTCTTACTTTTTCTCAAAATGTGGTTTCTTTGGTTTGTGTTTACTTTGTTTGCCACCTGTAGAAATTGTACAGAAAAAACAATGATCTAGCAACTGAAAAAAAAGGCCAAAGGAAAAAGTTGCAGCTGAGCTGAAGAAATTCTGTTGTATTCAGAAAAAGGTCTTAGAAACAGGAAAAGTTACCTTTAATTTCTTCTATTTTCTTCCGTAACTTTGTGTTTTGTTGAATAAGATCCTTAAGTCCTTCAGGACTATTCTTGCATAGCTCTTGGGCTCTTTCGTTAGCTACCATTGCCTGTTCATGTTCCCCCAGGAGTGAAAGAGCATCACAGAAACGATAGTGACCCTACATGTTTTGAATTTAAAAAGTAATTAGTCTCATAAAAAGGAAAATACTAAATCAACCTTCAAGAAAAAGTCTTGACAAATGCAGAACAAAGGCCTTTATAAGACTAATTATTCAAAAATTGCACTAAAAAAGGATTTGCCCTATCAAAGAAGACTAATTATTCATAAATCAATACATCATGTTTTCTTCCTAATCCCACCATAACCTTTTACTTGGATAATTATGTAGCTGTCCCCATTTATGCTTCTTCAGTATACTTAATAATGACAGCCTGGGCATATGAAGCATTATAATATCATATCACACTAAGTTTTTAAAATGTATCAAATGTTCCCACTCCTTTCTTTATACTTAAAAAAAAATGCACCTAATATTATACTAACTCTTATTCCCTACACCTTTACAAAAATTCTTAGCCCATGAGAGAGTGTTCTGCTTCCACTTAAACCAAGGAGAGGAGAAAACACTGCCTCTGTAAGAATTAGGGCCTTAGATCAGGTGGGCTAAAGAAAAAAGTCATACTACCACATACTAAAATTTAGTTAAGGGGTGCAGCAAATGGAAATGAAACAATCAATCAGAATATATTCTAGTCTCAGATCCTAAATTTACTGAACACAAGCCATACCAATATTTAAGCAAGGTTTTACATGCAACACTTAACCTTTAAGCAAGCCCTAACAGTCAACATAGATGTTCTTACATGAGCTTTCCAATGGATATAGTGAGTTCAGCTGGCCAGGTGTCTGTCATGCCACTGGGGTTCAATTAGTTGTTTTGTTTTTTTCCCTATGCATTGCTCTCCCCCAAATATCAGTATTTTTCCTAGGTTTTTTTTATATATTCTTACAATTCTCTTCTGTATGTCCCAGATACAGTTATGTCAAAATATGCACTAATCATCTTTCACAGTGGTCATTTTTGTGTTTGGCAGCTGTCTGCATTCTGTTGCTTTGGACCGCTAGACCACATCCTATTTTAATTTTTTGCTGAGATGAGTTATAACAAGTCACCCTAGATTGTAACTCACTGGCTTTGTGTTTAGTGGCGTTAGTTATGTCAAAGCACAAAATGGTGTTGCTTATGCTAAGCTGGCTGTCACACCTACACCCAATATTTTTGTTGGAACAATAAGTAGAACTGTCAAATTATATTAAACTAACCTTTGGCCAACTGGGCTTCAAAATAATGGCCCTTTTTCCATCACCAAGGGCTCTCCTTGAAAGAAATGGAAAAATAAAGTAAGTATTATTTTTATTTAATTACTGTTTTATTATTTGTTATTTTTATCAGGGCTCAACTGTGCTAGGCACTGAATACACATATAACAAGGAGACAAGCCTTGCCCTAAATAATTTTAATCAGAGTTGTGGATAGCAAATTTACATGACGAAGCAACAAGAAATAATACTTGTTAATCTAAGTACAGCATTACTAGTTCTGAGTTTCACACAGAGTTCATTAGAGACTTTACACTGAAACAGTTCAATAAAAGTAAAACCGATCAAAGGCAGCGGCCTAGGGTAGAATTGGAGAACAGAAAGTCCAAATAGTAGTGATAAACAGTACGTTCAGTTAAATTTAGAGATGTGTAGAAAAAGGGAAATTGGATAGTCAAAACAAGTACGGTCACTAAATCATGCTTGTATTGTATGTAAAGAGAGTATGTGCAAGAAGTTAGAGAGTGGTTATGAGACATCAAGAAAACGTGTGTGATCACCAAGTAGGTAAAAGGATTAGGAGTTTAGCATGTGCCTTGTAATGATTTTAGGCCTCCTGGGAAAGAGCAGTGAAGATTTATGACAGCACTTAAATTTAAAGCTGAATGATAAAGCGTCAACCCCCTCTTGACATGCTGGTGTAGTTCACATCTATGTCATAGATAGCTTAGGTATCCATAGACAACTTCTTATCTAGTTCCCTTGATGCTGTGCCACTACCACTTCAGAAAGTCAAGTCTACATGTTTAAGGCATTAAAACATTATTTTACTAAGTATATTATCAATTTACAATTCATGATTAAAAGGAGACCTCAACATTTCATATCCTATAAAAAAAGATTTACTTACCTGTATTCTCCAGTGAGAAGAAAACAGAGAGCCCGATTACTGTAAAGAAGATGGTTTTCAGGGCTACAAAGTATAAAAAACCCCAAAAACATTATTACATGCAAGACAAACAAAATTAATTACCTTAAAGAGCTTTAATTCGTTTCTTCAATATATTCAAAACTATACATCTAAACAATAATGCAGCTACTTAACTTAATCAAATATCATATTGTTTTCAAGTCAATGCACTATTCGAGTTCATCAAGTTAGTCATGCGGTATAACGATCTGCAGGTTCTGGGCCCATGTATGCATCTCAGCCAATTCAAATTACTCATTTCAAAAGTCAAACTAGAAGAATTAAGAAAGGTTTAAAATACCTAACCCCTGCCACCTTCTCCTTAAGTAAGTACTGGAAGCAATTCATAGCTAAATTTGTGGGTCAACTGTTGATTCTAGCTCATCTGAAATCTCTATACAGCAGATTAATATTGGATATTATTTTTTCACTTGAAAGAGAAAAACTAGCCTTAAGTTCTAGATCACAATGTCAAACATATGGCCCACAGTTTAGATCAGTGGTCACCAACCAGTCAATCTTGATCAACTAGTCGATTGTGGAGCCTCTGACAGTCTCTCAGTCTGTTAGAGGCTCCACATTCAGGAGCAGCAGGACGCATGTGGCTGGGCTAAGCCATGCTCCCTGCCACCCGGGCTGGGCTGGGTGAGTGGGGTCAGAGCCCTGGTGGTTTGTCTGGGAGGCAGGACAGGGGCAGTGCGGTAGATCCTGGGGTGCCAAAAAGTGATCTTTCACCACAAAAAGTTTGAGGACCACTGGTTTAGATCTAGCTGGCTGAGCTGTTTCTCCTCATCTGTGAGACTCCTAAGAGAGCTAAAAATTGAGGGGCAGGGCAAGAAGGGGCAGGGCCTACCACCAAAATGCAGGGCTACAGTATCAGTGGCAAAAGTGAGTAACAGATGCATTAACCTTCACAGTTCCTGATTCTGCTTACCCCATGTCTCAACTAGAACCAGGGAGATATTCTGGCAACCCAATGTTTAGTGGCAAGTTCATAATATAAGTTAGTGTTATAGACTAAATACTGTATTCACACAAACATGTGCTTTCATTTTACATGCAGGTTCCTCATATAAAAACATGCCTGTGAAAGTTTCCAGATGCTTTTATGATAAACTGCCTACACCAAAGAATTAACAAAAAAGATCCCATTATCATATACCAGCTGTTACCAACACTGAGATTACTAGCGTAGGTGGCTGGCATTCTTAATGGCATTTTTTGTTTCGTTTTGGTTTTTAGTCAGTGTGCCCTGTTTTCCTGCTGCTGGCAAGGCTAAACACTTACCATAGTGAAGGTTACTGTGAAAGGCAGAAGAGTAATTTACTTTAAAACTTGGTCTTGAATTGGTGTTAACATTTTGGGATTTTTTGTAAAAAATCATTAATACAGGAAAGGGTAAATGCCATACAAAAGAACATACAATGTACAGCACAAAATTGCTGAACTTAAAGCATGTTCTTGGACAGGTTTTTTTTAATTAGGTATCTCATCTTCAGGGATCCAGGTTCTCTGTTTCCCATGGAAAAAAATGTGGATTTTCCCTTTTAACTAGGAAAAACATGGATTTCTCATTTTAGTGGAGAAATACATGGATTTCCCACCTTTGCAAATAGCTCTCTCCAGGCTGGCAGAGTTCCAGCCTGCAGGGGGCTGGGGGGTCATGCGGCAGGGGTGGGGGGGGCAAATGTGCATGTACATGGCTGCCAGGCAGCCTGGAGAGCACCTCCCGCTCCCCCAGGTAAAAGTCTGGTGGGGAGCAGGGGGATGACGACCCCATGGGGAGGAGGAAGTCAGGCAGGGCTGGAGCTGTTGCCCAGAATGCATAGCTACATGGCCTGGGCAGGGAGTGTGACAGAGTAGCAGGCAGCTTATCCAGGGGGCTGCACAAGGGATGGGGGGTTCCCTGCTGCTATGTGCATTCCAGGAAGGAAGGGGGGCACGTGCCCAACAAATCTGTGCACAGTACAGGGACAGGGGCAAGCCATCTGCTGTGGACTTGGACTCCTCACCCTACTGCCCTCCCCCACCCAGGGCCTCCACTGCCAAGCAGGTTGGACCCAGCACAGCAGAGCAGAGCACAGCAGGGCCGGGCAGCAAAGCTCCTTGCTACTCTAAGCCCTGCACCGCCTTGGCAAAGCTCCCCCCGCCCACCCGGCTGTAGCAGGGGCAGCATGGCAGCGTTGTGCCCCTCACTGCTACCAAATGGGCACCTTGTCAGGGTGGCACAGGGCTCGCAGCAGCAAGGAGCTCCCCTGCCTGTCCCTGTTCTCCCCTGCTGCACCAGGTCCCGCCCACTGGACTACAGAGGCCACTGGGGGGGGAGGGCAGCAGGGCAGGGGGCCCAAGCCCACACATGCCTAGCTTCCTCCCTCCCCACCCCCACCCTGGGCTCTGCTCTGGCTGTGCTGCCCATGGAGGAGGGGAAGCAAGGCTTGATGCTGTACTCCCTGCTCGAGCTGTGGCAGCCAGGGCTCGGGCACTGCTGCGGGGGTCAAGGGGATGCGGAGCTGGGTTCCTAGCCCTATAGCCCTGGCAGCTAGGAGTCCCTCTGGCAGATTTGGAGGGGCAGGGTAGTAAGGGACCTGGGACCTGTGTTCTGGTGAGTGAAGGGGGGTAGAGGACGATCTGATTTTCCATGATAAAAACCCAAAAACCAAAACGCCAAAATTTAAAGGCATCTAGAATTTATTTTATTATAGTGATTAAGGCACTGGTAAGCTTCCAAATGGCTTTTAAATTGTAAATATAATCAAGAAAATATTGTGTTCAGTGGATACCTATATACATGGTGGTGTTTCATTTTAATCATGGATTTTTAAATCAGAGAATTTGCGATTTTTTTTTTTTTAAATTTAGAGAAAACCAGGATCCCTGCTGATCTTTAACAAGGGACAGACAAACAAATCAGTACAATCCTAAAAAAGTTGAAAGTGCAAAATATAAAAATGATCCAGCTATTTGAATTTGTTCTTACCAATATTCTATGGCTTTAGTGTAGAAGATTATAGCATAGTGCCAGTTCCTTTGGGAAAACTCACTATTTCCTCTTTTTTTCATAAATTCACTTTCCTGTAAGGTTAAGAAAAAAAAAAACAAAAAAACATATAGCCAGTCAGAATTTAACTCGGCTATCATGAGAAATACAAAAGGCATTAAATGATAAGCCTCCTGTCTGTTTGTATAGGGAATGCTGAGTGTACTTATAATCGATTTAAGGGTAAGAGTAGTAATCCAAATTCTATTTGTGGAATTGAAATGAAAAATTGTTCCACTTCTTACACTGCAAGTACTGTCAACTTCTCACTCACTTTGCTTATGTGGGGAGAACTGATTAGTCCCAAGGTCAGAAGCATATCGCGTGTGAATGCTAGGCAGGCTTCAGTGGCTCTGACAGCAGGGGATTTTGCCAACACCCGTCCTGGGGCCAGGCAATGAGGAGCTGCATTAAGGATGGAGACTTGGGAGCTGTGCCCATGCTGCTGCCTCTTCTCCCTGCTCTCTGGCTGCATTGCCAGTGCAGCTTCCAGTTGCCTGGCTCAGGCCTGGGCAAAGCCTCCAAGCCCACATCAAACTGGAGCCAGGTTTCTCTAGGCCCTAGGAAACAGACTAGAAATTTTAAATCAGCCACCAAACTGAGCTGCTTCAACTTTTATCAACTAGCCTTGGTCAATTAAGGGACCAGGCCAGGGGGAAGAGATAGAACACAACCAACCCATTCAACATGTCCCCTGCACTAGAAAAAGTGTTGGGCCAGAAGCACACAGGAGCATCTAAAAGGTACATATCAGAATAAAGAAAGCAGCCTTAAAGTACTGACTTGAGCTTTCTGGAAAAGATGTAAGGCCCTCATGGATAAACAGGGTAGACATTGTAACAAATAATATTTCATTTATTAGGGTATGGATCCTGTGAATGTTACTTGTCTGGACAACTACTTCCATATAGATTTCTAAAAGGTCCAACTATCCCAAACTACTTTCTGCTTAAAACAAAATGCATAGAACTTCAGAGCTTTGTCCTACCCTTTTACAGTTTTCACAACTTTGAGCTTCGAACTCTTCAACTAAGTTGCAATCTTCCAATGCAACCCTAGTTATATGATTTTTGTCTGTATGCAGAAATAGGACATAAAGAAAACCCAAGTGATTAAGACAGAAATTAGGTTTTTTACATCCAAGAATAACAGTATATCCTAACAACAACTGTTATTGTTAAACCAAAAATAGCCAGGCACATGAAAATAAAATTTTTCATATGCCAGGATTTGACAGGTTTTGTTTGTTTATCTTCCTCAACATGAACAGTAAAAAAATAGCCAAGAGTAAACAAAAGATATCCAAAAAAATATACATGCCTCCAATTCAGGACAAAAATTTTAGGTTCCCATTCTAAGTATTTAAATCTGTTCCTAATTTCAAGAATGTGAACAGCCTTATTCAAGAATGAGACATTTACATTTGTTACATTCTTAACTGCATTGTTGGATCAAGGCCTAAATGATACTCCCTTTGAACCAAAGCCCAACTCTTGCTATTCCTATAAAATAAAATACATACAATTAACCAGATGTCAATGCCTATTAATGCCACCGAGTTTTTTCTGGTATTAAAATGGGCATTATATTCCTTACTATATTTGAATATTTATTTAAAAGTATAACTAAACTTACTAAACAAATCAGATAAATACTTTAACTAGCCCTATTCATGATAACATTACAAACAGGTATCAATATCTTAACTTTCACATTCATGTGGTAAGTTGTACAGAAATTAACAGTTCCATTAATCCTTTTCCTTCAATGCCTGTAATCTAAGTCCAATATTTGATTGTTAGGCAAGTCTCATGGGATGGAAATGTCCTTCACTGCAACACTGTAAAATAGCTGTACTGTATCCACTTTTTAAACCACAACTTTTGGAAACAAAGGGAGTGGCCAAATGACAAGTACTGGAAGACAGTCCTAAACAAATCTTTGGAAGTCATTCAAGTCATAACATGCCAATTGTTTACTCATTTTTTTAAATTTTAGTAATTCCTACAGATTGTTCATGGTTTCATGATGTGGAAATGTTGTCCCCTAATGGCAGATGTGTTACTCATACAAGTAAAACAACGCTGAACTTTCACAGAAAGAGGCAGTTTCATGAGATACACGACTGCAGAAATTCTGGTTCTCTCCAGTAATAAGCCAGTCTCTAAATGTTTTCAGCTTGACCTGACTTCTCAATAGTTCCTAATAAAACCACAGTTTTGAGATACCTAGTCTAAGTTTATCAAATTGGCAAACTTCTGGGTATTAAATGTTTACTGTACTTTTTGGAAACTGCTTCTTTATAGTTAAAATATAAACCAACTGTTTTCTTTAAAGATGAAAAAAAAAGTTGACCTGCCTTATTTCCTTTACTTGTCATTTTGGAATAGAATAAAAGAAAGAATTAGCCAGTATTTTTTATCTCTAAAGGGAAAAAGGCACCACAAGCAAAAAAAGAATCAGATTCCAAGGTTAGTGAGGGCAGAATAGCAAATGCTTATTTTTTCTACAGCAGAAAATATTGCATCAGTGATGGCTGTAGCAACAGGAATATTAAACCCCAGAAAAAAAAACCCCCCCAAACATCTCAAAGGAAAAAGTACAAAGCTGTGTTTTCAGACTTAGACCAACTGACAGAAATTGAAGGAAAAAAAAAAACCATACGCAGCCCATGTCCCAGACTCCCAGTACCATGTACAACTGTGGGTCCAGTTCCAGGCTGGCCCCAGGGGCTAGTGTGTGCTGTGTGTCAGCTGAATGCAGTGCCTGACAAGGGGGAGAAAAAGCAGAGGTCGGGGGGAAGGCAGAGGAAACATGTGGTCAGTCGCAGCCCAGCATGCAGACTGGCTCAGGGATGCGCATCCAAGCCTACCACCTCTGATTCCAGGAGCCACATGCAATCCATAATAGACATTGTTGATGAAAAGACTTCAAACACCTGTACATTAGCAGAATGCACTATTTTGGTGGCATCCATATGTGCAAAGACTTAGAGTAACTGCTCTGAACTGAAAATCATTCTAAATTTTTCTGGGTGCTTCAACCAGTGCAGACTTCTAAGAAACACACAGGATGCAGACAAACTACTTTACAACTAGTTGTTGTTCTAAAAATGTTTATACTTACATTCGGCAAAGAAAACTTCAAGGGGAGGCCAACAGTAATCACCAAGCTTTTTTAACTTCTCTAGAACACTGAATTCACCTGTGTATTTTACCCATTCGAGGGCATCCCCAACATCGAAGACTTTCTTTCAAAAAGAAGGGAGAAATTAGAGTTAGCATCTAGACTTTGTGTATCCCATGAGAGTAAATCACCTAAATTCTTTGCAACATGATATAAAAGCAACAAATGTATACAATTTCTGTAACATGGTTGTACAATGTAGCTCCTCACATAAATGAGAGGCAAGGGCAATCTGCCCGCTGCCTTGGCTGTTGTCCGCAAAAATAAGTGCAACAGTTCATAAACACTTCACTTCTACAGACCACATCAGTCCAGGCACCAAAAAGAAGCTGAGGGAGGATCTCTCTGCTTTATACGACACACATTATTTCTGCATATAAAATACTGTCAAAGAAACCATCAGTGGTTTCTGGGACAATCTTGGTATGTGTTTTTTGTCCTGATTACTAAGCCAGCTAGGATTTACTGATGCATAAATTCTATTTTTATAATTACTTTATAGTCTAGCAAGCAGGTAATGTTTGATTTCCACCACAGAGTTTCTGACTACCATTCAGGTCATAAGGTTTGATCTATAAAATTTTTCATGGTTTCCAACTATGAAAATGGAGGCAGCATGTAACCAGAAAACTGACCCTTAAGATTCTTATATCTGTAGATAGGACGATGCAAGTGGAGAGATCTTGATTCTTAAATATATTTTGGTGTCTTTGTACCTAGAAACCCAAGTTGTTTGATCTACTAACCATGTTCCAAAGCTTCTTCTGAAACAATGGGATTAAGCACAGAATGTCTATTGCCTCAGATATGCTTTTACCTCTTAAACAAATTTTGTCAACTTAGAGTGTTTTTGTGTATTTAAATCCATGCCCTTTCCGACACAATGACACTTAGATAAAATACAAGCAATAAGGCATATGTGCCTATTCCAATTTCTCCTGCTATTAAAAGCAACTATGCTATGGGTCTTCAAAACACCAATAATTTATTCTGAGTGTTACTTACACAAGATGTCATACTGGAAAAATACTTGGAAGTGACATGCAAAAGAAAAATGACATCCATGCAACAAAATCCCGAGAATTAGTCTTCCAAGAAGCAAGTTCTGTACCAACAAGTGATTCTAGCTTTCACATACTCATGTAACATGAATTTAAGAAACAAACAGCTTTGGATATCTTAAAAGAGAAGAATTCTACAGTAAAAACTGTTATATCTGGCACTTGATTTACTGGTATGCTCTATCAACTGGCATGCAAGCCAACACAGCAAAAGTGAAACCGTAAGTCCTGCTTCTGGTTTCACTGAGTCCCACTTCGGGCCACAAAAAATTTATTGATAAATTAATAAAGTTTACATGTAATCCAGCATGACTGGAAGGGATTGTTCTCTCTAGGATGTACAGGGCAGGGGCGAGAGGCATGGGAAGGGCAGCATGGCGCCTGTCCTCTGGCACACTGATGCACCAGATGCGGCAGGAGGCAGGCAAAGACGCCTCTCAGGTAACTGGCATATTTGGTTATCTGGCACGCCTCATTTCCCACAGGTGCCAGATACAGAGCTTTTGCTGTACTTGTATTAATACATACTCAAAAAAAAAAAAAAAAAAAGAAGTTGAACCAACTTACATTTTCTATTCTTGTACCGATTCTTAATATGCCATTGATAAAAAATGGATCATTCTGGAAGAGAAAAGAGCACACAAAAGGAAGTTACAAGGACCTTCCTCTCTAGCTATTTGGCTTTGATTTTGTTTCTTTTTTCAATTCAAAATGACTCTCTTGGTTAAAATTCAACTGAATGGCTTTTTCTACAGCAAGATAAATTTAGACTCTGCTTCTGATTTATTCCAAAATTTCAGGAAGTCTTCTATTGACATAAGTAAATAGCAGGGAAAATTACAGCTAAAGAGGGACACATGGGATATATATACAAAGTACAACACCATGCCATGCAGCTAGCTTTAATTTAAGTACTACAAGCAGTACAGGCATGGTAGGGCAGCGCTCCACCTATACAAATATACCCACTCTCTCAACTGGGCTAATTAGCAAAGGCTAAAAGCCTTGCTGTCATAGCTATACTATTTCCGGTAGTTCACTTATCTGAGATCTGCAGTTTACTGCACTGTGTTATGTAGACATACCCATAGAACCCACTATGCATTTAGACAAGCTAGGAGCTTCAACAATCTCTGTAATAGTCTGTACATCAGAAAAAACAATTGATGGCAGCCATTAAAACCTTTCAACTCTGTTGATCTCCCAATACAGTTTACAAACAATGACTCAGCTGATTGTGGGAACCAGGTAAATGGCAATGCACATGAAACTGTGATAAAGAGATACCCAGATATGGAAGAAAAGGAAAATGAAGGAGCACACCCCCTCTTGAGGGAATGGGACCCTTGACATCTGAGAGGAGCTGGGAAGATGTACAGAGTTTCTAAAATAACAGGGGATGAAATGGTGGCACATGGAAAACTTAAGGGAAAGTGGCATAAATAATGAGAAAAAAGGAGCCCCAAGTATGTGAAATGCATTCAACTGACAAAAGCAAAATATCTACTTATGAAATGCCATTTAATAGCAGAGTGGACCAGCAAAATTTCATTTTGGGTTGGACCACCACATTTCAGTGGATAACAAACAGATCTTAAAAAACAAGAAACCCAAAGAATAAAATATCTAAATCGGGGTATTAAGGAGTACATCTTTTTCCCTTTCCACCCTCAGTTTTCTTTGCTGATTTCCTTCCTTCTTTATTTTGGTGTCTTCTACTGTTACACTATTGTTTTGGACAGACTATTAGCCAAAGAGTTTTCAAACAACAACTTATTATTGAGCACAGACAAAATGAAAATGGTCACAAAGAAAGTTCTTCTAATTCAGTCTGCAGGGGAGGAGGATCATTTATCTCACCGACATGATTAGATCATCATCGATACTGCAGTAGTCTTTCAAGGCCCCAACCAGACATCAGAGCCTACTGTTACACACCATGCAAACATATACCATATTTTCAAACCCCGCCCCCACCACTCAAAAAAAAATGGCTGGAGATTGGGGTGCATATTTTAAGCAAACAAATATGGTAACAACAGCTGCTGCAGCATGAGCCTCTGCTGGGAAAAGGGAAAGTAACAGTGCACAAAAGGCAGCATAGAGAGCATGTGGGGCTCTGTACTAGCTGCTGGCTGTGGACAACAGGGGCCCTGCATGCTCGCTGTGTAAGAAGCACGTTAGAGGTTTTGGCATAAGTGCCTCCATCTTGCCTATATTCTCCATTATGTAAAGATTGGAACTCTATGTTGTTGCTGTAAACGTGCAACTAAATAACAGACATTTGGAGTTAAGCTGCAGAAGTGTAGTTAGAAGCAGAATGGGCCAAAAACATTTTTGAATTCCTGCAACAAGACCCTTTGCAGACAAATTTCTTTGGTCAGAAGAGGAAAGGAAGCAGTTAACATATCCAACTGAAACAGCTCAGATTACACAGAGCATAAGATTTTCGATTAGATGGGATAATCTAAACGTACCATATTATAGTTTACACATTAGTAGGAATAATTAACATAACCAAATGTTAAACCAAATATATTAAATGTAGTTTAGAGTTAACAGATGTATGCGTGTTTGATTTCTTAGTTTCTCTTGGTGAAGGAAAGAGATAAGGAATCCTTCCGTCCAGAAGCATAACTGTGACAGAAATATAAAGCCCACAGATTTATCCCCCCATGGAAAATGTCAACTAATTGACACTTTCCATGTCCACAGCAGAACTGGTTATATCCAGTTCCAAAAGTTTCAGTGAAACAGAAATATAAACATAAGATTAAATGCAAATCATTAGTGCTTGTATATCTGTGGTTGTAAACCTGCAGAGTTTGGGGAATAATGGGCCTCAGTTGCTGGGGAACCTGAACAACTAACAAGAGCTCAAAGATCCTGCAGTCTGGCCTATACCTTATCCTCCCAGGTACAAGTATGTTGTTGCATTTCCACTGCCTGATGTAAAAGCTAATTCAACTTATGTTTAGTTTTCCAATAAAGTGATTGCCTTGAGAAGAGACAGATGTACTCAGTCTTCATTTTAGGGCCCCATTTGGCAAAACAAGTTCCCTTTGCCCTAATTTGGGGATAGAGAGCTTCTCTTCACAATGCGCTGTCCATGTGCAGCAGTGCTTTCCCTTCCTCTGGCAGGAGCTTGTGCTGCAGAGGCTGTTACTAATTCAGTAAAAGCCTCTGCCTCAGCACCCAGGACTCAGCTCCACTGTATTTCTAAAGCACATCCAAGCCTTGGGTGCTGGAGCAGAGGCTCCAGTTGGGCTGGCCCTCAGCTGACTTGACAGGTGCCCACCAAGCTCAGTTCAGGAAGCATGGCTCAGACAGCAGCACCTCTGGCAGTCTGCAGCTAGGAGGTTAACAGAGGGGCCACAATGTTCTGCACCCCACCCCACCAGTAGCTGCCTGTTTTTTCCCTGGGGAAATAAAACACACACCAGTATTATCAAGAAAAGAGCTTTTCTTTTACCATCCCACCTGTCAAAAGCAAAGTGTTCATCTATTTCAGGGCATGAGGTGTGCAAGAACATTTTGTAATGAGAACCATGATCCCTGCTCTAATTCAGTCCTTGAAGCCAGTTTTTTTGCATATATCAGGAAACCTCTGTACTTTCCTTACATAAAACTGTCATAGGTTGACAGTCTGCTGGGCTGCACTATCTATTCAACCTGACCAAAACAATTCTCTTCTGCTCATCTAATGTATACTAAAAATTTGTGTTACAACAAAGTACTAGTTAAGCAGTTTATCCCACGCAGAAGTACATACAAGTTAACACACACTACTTACCACAACTTTCTTAGCTAAATCAACAATGTCTTCCAAAACCTCGATGTGCCAGAGTCTTTTCAAACTTAGTTCACACAGATGGGAACCACTTAAATGAAAACATTTTATTTTTTCATTAGAAAGGTCATATTTCCCCTATTGCATGGCTTTAGCTTCTAATACAGTACTTACATTACATCTAAAACAAGACAGTGGTTAAAAACTTAGGACAAGGTCTTGAACATGGGTAAATTAACAGAAACTGCTGAGTGTTCAGCAGTTTCCAAAAAAAAAAAATCAGAGCGCTGATTTAAGCATCAAAATACAGATTTTAGAGACAATGTTCAGACAGTTTTTTTCTAATAAATTTGTCCCTGGTGTTTAGAAATAAAACTTCTTCATTTATATCTCGTATTGCTCGTGGACAGCCTGGGACATTAATACAGGCATCTTTAATACTCCTATATCCAAATTATACTTTCCCTATACCTTATCAAAAGCAAGCAGTTAAATAAAAATTAAACAAATACAACTGAGAGATTAATGAACATGAAAACATCCTTGCTTACCTGTACTCTAAGTGATTATCTGCCACAAACCAATCACTTAACATATGATCAATTCTGAACAGAAGCGGCCAAAAGATGTATTTTTTAACTACATCACAATATTCTCTCAGTACCTCTACTGGCTTACTGCACCACACAGTACAGGGATCAACACCTTAATACAAGAAAAAAAAAAGATATAAAAACTAAGTTACAAAATTCAGACAATTTGATTAATCAAAGTTTAATTAAAGAAATAATTAAATGTTTCTATATTATGTATGTCCAACAAGCTACCTGGATACAAGGAGAAGCAAAAAAATGCAAATACAGCTGGAGTTCTTGTTCTATAACATCCCAAATAAAATTCCACCCAAAATAGGTGGAAAAATAGGACATTGCAGCTGTGATTATTAGAAACTGCAAATGTTAAGGATTTGGGGGTTGTTTTTCTTTGGGAAAAAACAAAATGGGACAATGACAACTACTTAAAACAAAAAAAACTCTCTCCCATGAATTGTGACCACCACCCCTAGCAACAGTTCTAATGACTTCTTGTTAACTCATCTGTCAGGAGGACGAAAATAAATTCAGTCCATGGACTACTGGCCTGTACATCACCTAACATTTCAGCAAACACCCCACAATGAAACTCAAGAATTTGTTGCTTTCTTCTCCAACCAGATCCAGCTTCACCAAAAAAGAAGGCTGATTCTATCTGGATTAAGCAATATTGACCAAAAATAACTGACAACTGCTGACAATGAGTAACACACAAACTGCATTCATTAGCTATATCATTACAGAACAGTTCAGCTGATTAGAATATACAAAAAGCCCCATAATTACAGCAGACTTCTTTGCCTGCTGCACAAACACAGCATCTGACTTCTAAAGCTCTTTATGCTATAGATGAATCTGGATCAGGCCATAAGTATTAGCTTCCTGGCAGTGCTGGGGGCAGCTCCTTCCAGCTGTTACTGTCAATTTCACCACCACTGCTGGACTTGGCTCTGGCCCTGCTCCTAGGCAGCCTGGCCCTATCCATCACACGCCCACTGCCAGGGACATGAGATGGGGTCTCCATGGAGACTGGCCCTGGAGCCTCAAGGGCAGGATGTGCTTGGCCAGGCAGATGGGATGGGGCTGTGGTTGGGAAGAGAATAGCATCTGGGAGCAGAACAGATGGGCAGGTGGGGACAGGACTGTGAGGCAATGACAACTTGGGGCCAAGGCCCAAGGCAGACCTGTGATCTGCTCACCACACAGCCCTGTAAGCTGGGGGTTCTGATCCAGCCCAGAACAGCTCACCAAAACTACTTAAGTGGCCCTCCAGCCCAAATAACTGCCCACGCCCGAGTTAAGGTCTACTTTGATACGCCTCTGTACTCTCTGGCTTTTCCAGTTCCCTACCCTGCTTGACTCTGTTTTTGGATTCCAGCTTGAGGATTTTCCCATGGATCTGGGCATCTAGTTCCCAGACCCTGATCCTGCCTGTGATTAGGACTTTGCTCTGTGGATATGGTAACTTGATCTCAGCCTCCTGAACCCTGACCCAGCAAGTGTTTTAAACTCTGTCCCAGAGTTTCCCCCATTGATCTGATAACTCTGACTCAGCGTGTGTTTTAAACTATGCCCCTAGCTCCTGCCTTCCTCAGTGGCCGGCCACTAGGCCGATTGCCTACAATCCAGACCCTTAAAGAAATGAACTTTCATCTTTATACAGAAGGAAGAAAAAAAAAGTAAAAACCAAAATCCCAAGTAAGGTTTAAAAAACAAAGAAACAAACTTCTATTTACATACCTGTTTTAAGTTTAAGTTTATTTGAAGAATGCTTTCTAAATTTATCACGAGCCTGAAAGTGAAGCAGTACTTATTTTAGTTTCTGTTGTTTTACATCATACAATCATACTCATACTGTATAAGCCACTGGCAACACAATTCCTTTAAGCAACAGACAATTAAATTGACGCCAGTTTATATTTAACATGGATAAGGTTCACCCCACCTTCTTTCAGGTGTGGCCATTCCAGAACATCCAGGAAAAATAGTGGCACACAATTTTGCTATCAAGTCATCAAAATGAAAGGAAGCAAGATGAAAGAACTCTGGACACATCCCCAAATGTCCTGCCTACGCTTGCACTATGAATAAAGGCCTTTTATTCAATTTTATATCCTCAACTTTAAGATACCTTTTCTAAGCCTCAATTAGAGGTGGATGAATGCGCCTCCCCAAAAAACAACAGTAGTCCCAAGTTGCCTACAGGCCTCCACAGTTCCGAATTCTTTCATGCCTCGAAAACACATAATCAGACCAAAAATCTCTTTTATCATCATATGCTGCATCACCCACACAGAAAGCCCTTTTGGGTCTAATCTCTTTTATAATTATTGTAAATAGTCAAACAGTCTGTATTATACAGTTTAGTCCAGGAATGGGCAAAATATATCCCACAGGCCAAATCCAGCCCACGAACTGATTGGATCCAACCCACAAGCAGGCGCCTGTCAATAGACTGTACAGAGCCCGCAGTGCCACCACATCACTCTACATGGGACCAAGCCCTGCCAACTCTTGCCCTGCTTGGCTCCTCTTCCTGCCCCTGCTGTGCCACTCTGGCTCACAAGCAGCACAGAATATGAACAGCAGCTCTGGGTCAGGGCACCACATACACAGCCAGGCAGTGGGGGGCAAGATGTAGCTGGGCAGCTCCTGCCCCAGTGCATGGGCTCCAGCTCCAGGCTGCCTTCCATCCATTCAGCCACCTCAGCCTCCTGCCTCATCGTGCCAGGTAGGCAGAGTTGGTGGAAGGTGGCAGGGATCTGGAGCCCTGCTCCAGCTGGCTGGGTATGTGGTGCTCAGCACATGTCCCCACGGCTTCCCCGTGTTGTTGGCAGCCCAAGGTGGCATAGTGGGGGCAGGAGGAGCAGCCACTGAAGGCAGGGACAGGAAAGCAGGACCTGGGTGGCTAAGGCAGCAGCCCTGCTGGGATGGTGCACACACTGGCTGGGACAGTGCTGTCTGGCAGGCCTAGGGCGGGTGCAGGCAGGAACACAGTGCGGGCAGGAACACGTGGGAGTGAATGGGGCTTGGCCCCATGAGAAGCACCATAGGGGGGCAGCTGGACAGCACCTGCAACACCCAGGTGAACTCTGCTGCATGCACCCCATGACCTCCACTTCCTCTCCCCACCCCACCAGCTCCCAGGACGTAATCCAAAGGCATTTCCCCCCACTCCACAATATACAAAAGCAAGACTTTATTTTGAGCTATGCAATCACCTCTCTATACACTACTGAAAAAAAAAAAAAAAAAACAAAAAATCAGGAAATAAATATTTTTTTCAATAAAATTAAAATGTATGTTATAGCAGATGTCTGATTCTAACTATATGATTTTTTTAAAATCTATAATTTACTAAAATGAAGTCTTCCAAAAGATGTGTGCGCAGCCCTCAACAGCTCACCAAAACTAATTTCAGCTGGAGGGCCACTTAATAATTGCCCACCCCTGGTTTAGTCACAGAAAATTATCACCTGGTATGTGAACAAATGTGTTTAAGACATGCTACTTCGAAAAAAATATTTTCAGCCATTAAACTTAGTAAATAGCTAATAAACAATGAACAGTATATTCAGAAATAAAGTACTGTAAGTTTTCTTTATTAATTGAATACACTTAGACTCAACTACTGGAAAAGCTATGAGAAGATGCAGAGGGGGAAAAAACCAAAACCAAAACCAAAATGCGTAAGTTTATTGTTACAAAAAATAATATAGGACTGAACAGTACTATATATATTTTTAAACAAACAGGAAATGTTTAGGAGTGTCTATCTATTTACTTTTATTTCCCATGTAGCACTGTACTCTTTCGATATCATAGTAATGGATTTAAAAGTTTCACAATACACCAGCAATGAAAAAACGTTTAAGACTGAGAAGTAATAATAAATCTTTGAATATGCTTTGGAGGACACCTGATTTGTGTGATATAAAAGAGTTTTATTAAAACTTAGGAATTTTACATAGTTTTACCATTATTTCAAAGACAGAGAGATTTTCTTATGGGGGACAGGAAAGAAAGGAGAGTCATGTAATGTAATGTATAATGTATAGTTATGTAATGTATAAGCAGCAGCAGGTCCTTAAGGCTGTATTATTTTTACAGCTATCTATGCTTTCATGTGCCAGCATACTAAAGGGGACTGGATGCTAAATGGACGGAAATCTTACTACACTTTGGATTTACATACATGCTGAAGTTGGATCCTCATAATTTAAAAGCAGTTTATACACTGCTGCAAATTCCTGTGTGGATGTGCATATTGACTTAAGACTGCCTTATATTAATTTAGCCAAATTTAAGGCAAAGTGAGTGTTCACACACGAAGTTGTATCGGTATAAAAGTGGCACCTTCATTAAGTCAAATGTGCATAGACTAGGCCTTATTCTTGTTCTCAAAACTCTCTTTGGAGGCCTACAAAATTGAAGTAGCCTATCCCTATTATTGTATATAACCTTATTGCGTGTTCGCTAAGGAAAAGTATAATGATGTCCAAACCAGTCCACTCTAAGAGACTGATTAGCTAGGTCTGAGGCATTATATAACATGGAATTGCCTATACTACAGAAACAACCACATCTGCTATCAGCTTGACACACGAGATACAATGGCACCTTGCTAAGGCAGAGTTGAAAACCTAACTCCAATTAGCATGGGCAGAAAAATCTTTTGAACACTCCTCGTTACAAAGGAATGCTGGGAAGGACATCTAGGATGCTTTAATAAAAGATGTGTAAGTTAGTTGCTCCTATACACACTATTGAAATATTCTTTATTCAAACAATGACTGCCTATATAAAAAAGTTTTATTGTTTTAACTACATCGACAGAGATCAAGTCCAAACTCTTGGTACAAAAATACTTCTGTTCCTCTAGCCCAGGAGTATAGAGCCAGTCTACAGGTTAAACTAGGCCCACAGACCAGCCCATGTTCAATCCAGCCCACAGGGCTGGTCTGGTGCCTCATGGAGCATGCACCCTGGACTGGGTGTGTGTTCTGCCTCTGCAGTAAGGACACTGGCTTCAGCCCCATGTACCCCACACAGCCTGCACAGGTCAGTTGTGAATAAGCACTACATGCTACCAGCTCTGGATTCAGTGCGGACAAGTGGTCTGGTATAGATGTCACATACAGCGTGTACCCCAGATCAGCCCCGTGCCACGTGCATGTAGCCCATACTAAAGACAAGCAGTACTGAGGTCAGATGATATGGCACCATGGACTAGATCTCTGATACCCCCGATCTAGTTTATTCCAATATGGAAAAAGGAATAACCTGTGGTATTTTGATACCAGCCGAGTTGTGCCCACACCATGAATTAGAAAAGATCAAATATTTCAGTTAAAAAAAAATTACACCCCTGTTTGTAGATGAGAATTAAATAAGAATTGCCACCAGATATTCAGCCTGCACTTTACCTATTCATACAGCTACTTACCAACTGACAACAAGGTTTAATGCAGCCACCATAAAAAGCAATGCCAGCAAACTCTGAGTCAGGTAGAGATTTTTCCATGGTTCATGATCCTAGAAAGCAAAGCCAAAATATATGAAAAAAAAAAAATCACCTGGTATGCATGCCAACTATGTAGTTGGGTAAAGTTAGACAAGCTTTCGAATGTAACACATTCCCTCTCAGGTCTGATTATAAGGCCTGGCTCCTTGTGATTAGACCTGAGAGAGAACGTCTTGCATTCAAAACCTTGTCTAACTTTATCCCAACTACATAGCTGGTCCAATAAAAGATATCATCCTAAGAAATCCTTGCCTCTGGCATTTTCTAGAAATTTTAATCCTGAAAAGAAATCAAGTGAGTAAAGGGATTTTCACACATATTGAAAGAGAACAGCTTTAATCATGAAGAATCTATGCTACAAGTTATTCTGTGGTTTGACACAAAATTTCTACCTGCTCACCCTTCCACCCCCATCCCAAATCAGTCCGGAATACTGTGGAGTGAGGTCCATTGCCAGCAACAAGACAACCTTCAGGGAAAAGACTGGGCTGAGGGATTGTGGGGAAAGGCAAGATCCCCAGAGGACAAATTTAACACAAGTCATGGAAAGCTTGGTGTCCACATGACACTGAACTAGTTCACAGAGGAACAGTTCAAAATACCACCTGCTTATCTCAATATACTTCTGAAACATTTTAGGAAGGTTAAGCTGTTCTAAACTGGCTTGTATGTCTAGAAGCCTGCAGTTCAAACCACATTTGTCAGTATCTTTTATAATTCTATACACAATGCAACAAAGTTTCCAGTTAGTAAAATAGTTAATGAGAAATACAGGCTGTTCCTGAACCTAATGAAAACTAAATACAAGTGTACTTATTCAGGGCACCTACAGGAGCCCACCTGCTCCGACAAGCTAATCAGCATGCATCAGAACATGGGTCAGACACCTGTGTAGGTGCCCTGAATGAGTTCACTTGCATTTAGTATGGAGTCTGCTGGAGCATGCCAATTAGAGCTGGAGCTAGTTTGAGTGTGCTAATTAAAGCTCAATTGATGGAGCTGGATGAATCGAGTCTGCTGGAGCGTGCCAATTAGGTTGTCACGTGTATCCAGAGTTCCCATGCTTCAAAGTGGTGGCGGGAGCAACGCTGAATATACAACATAATGTGTGTGTTTTAATTAGAGTGGCTCTCAGGAGCCACTTAATTAAAGTGCCCCACCCCCACCCCAGCACATGTAAAGATGCCCTCAGTGACTGAAAACAGGATGCAAGTAAACATTAGGAATAACAAACCAAACTGTAAAAGCATTAGATAAATTTATTTATCTGGGATTGTATATACCCAGGAGACCCCCTCTACCCATCCCTGCATAACTATGACTCAAACTATAACTGTTTACACAACACCACAGTGGATTCGATTTAAATCTTATCAATTTAAATCATGGCTGAAATCACTGGGCAGGAAACCTCAATTTAATCATTGTTTAATCTTCATAGAAAAAGTGCATCCTTGTTGTTTGATTCATTTAACTTCTTGAAACTTTGCACTTTTAGAGAGTTAAGGGCATGACACTGTGTACACAAACTTGCAGAGACGAGAAGGCTGATGGGTAGGTAATCAAGTCTGTTCTCTCTTGTCTCCATATACTGCTGTTAACAAGGAATATTATCACTGGACACACAAATCCAGGTTGAGAACTATAACTAAACATTACAGAGATGCTTAATGGGATCTTTGACTGAGCACTGAATTGCATTAATAAAGATTTAAAAAAAACAAAACACTCTACCCAATGTATAGAGAAGCCTCTGGGAACCCCATAAGATTGGGCCCCTAATATAGTCAACGGCCTGTTCTAAAAAGATTACATGAATATATTGTCTCAAATAGTATAAGTTATAATCCCTATTCCATAATGATATCTTTAAGCTTTAATGCATCTTAAATTAAAACTATCCTTATATAGGTTTGTTTTTAAAAGAAACGTATTAAAAAAAATATAACTAAATAAAAAAAAATTAAATTAAAAAAACTCTTATTGTAAAAACATTGTTGATTTTTATCTACCCTGCATAACAGTGCCAGGACTGTTGCCTGGGGTGGCATGGGCATTAAGACACACAGCTGAAAGCCCAGAAACTGCAAGGTCAAGGCCACAGCAGAAGTACTCGCAACAAGGCCTGTCAGATACCAATGAAATCTGTGAATTCTACTAAATACCTTGCACAAGGACACAAAAAGGAAGGTAGGTGCCAGTACTCATTATTTTTGCCCCGCACGGGTATTTTGTTTCATCGTTGTACTACCCATCACATTAACAAATAAGCAACCCCAAAGTGGGGCTATATGGCCAGGCTGGTATTGGCCTCTGGCTCTCCTGTTTATGGCAATTTATGAAGCCCTACATGAACAATGCTTCCTAGGGGTAGTTCCCTTTAGAGAGCTATTTATAGCTCCTCGGAGAGAGCTTCCTGTCCCATGTGCGGAAAAAGAAGTGGCCTAGAGATAGCAAAAGCTACAGTATACCGTCAGGAATGACAACGCCACTGAATGAGGTTCTAGCTCGTTCTAGTGCCAATAATATGGAAAGAAGTGCCTCTTGAAAGGCATCTCAGTCTCTGTGTAGATTTCAGAACTGGTGTTGGCACTAGCGTGACAGCTCCCAAGTTGCTCTTGCCCCTTCTCTGCATTACCAGTACCTTGCTCTCATTGGTTGACACTGTGACACTTAAAAGATTTTTCTTGGCTTGACTTCACCTTACGGATGAACATGTCACACACTCCAAAATACACTCACACTTGGTACAGGTGTATTGCCTAGCACCTAAGGCCAACAGCACAGGGTCCCTGTCCCAGGGTCAGCATCAATACTGCCTGTACCAAATGTTACTCTAGTCAGAACTGCAGACCCTAGTATCACAGTCAAAAGTACTGAGGGCTTTTTTGTTTAATTTCCTCCTTTCTAGGATAAGGTATAATGCCTGCTTGCCAGAGCACTTTTTAAAGATATCCTCCAAGCAAGAACTGTGGACACTGCTTCCTTTACCAGACTAAATATGACCTTCACGAACTACTCCAAAGGATGTGCATCATAAACCTCATGTCTCTCAAGCAGCAGACAGAGCACTTGTTAGAGAGGTACTTTTTTCTGAGGCAGAAAAAGATGGTTTCCTGTGCCCACTGATAAGAGTAAAAAGGTCATCACAGGAAGGGTAAGTTAAACCCCATGGTTTACAGCCCATGACACAGGAACAGCTGGTCACTCTACTGGCTTTTTTTTTCTCCCCTGGATGTTCCATAGCAATTTTTTAATGAGAATTTTAAAAGAGGTGAACAGCTGTTTCTTCATAAACATCAAGTTCTCAGCTCAATAAAAACAGAAATCCATGAGATACAGCCAAGGTGTTCTGTTGCCAACACTGGCAGTAAAATGACTCTGAGAGAAGGTCAGATTGCCTCTGCTACCTACTGTCTCACAAGAGAGCATGAGGTGATAAAGATGATAAAGCCACAACAATTCAAAAAATTCCAAACTCATTCATGTGAGGAGCTTGCAAACCAACAGTGGATGAGGCTACTTGAACAACATGATGTTCTGGTTCAGAAAAGATATGAATATTTTCTCCCTCTCAAACCCCTCCCCTGTGGCCACTTCCCCTCTCCACCCCCTCCAGCCGGCCTCCCTCTCTGCCTACATTTTTCTCAGTTAGGCCTGGATCAGCAGGCTATAAGCACTTCCTGTTTAACAAAGAGCTGGTTTAGGATAAAGAATCCTTTTCAGGAACCCATAACCAATACAAAAAGCCAGCATGGCTCAAGGCAGCTTCTTCAAAAAGCAGCATAATCTACTTTGCTCATCAAAATCTAGCAAAAGGCATTAAAAAAAACCCAGCAAGGCAGAAAGTATTTCTCACTTAAACCCATCCTGGCACTAAGGTTGTTGGCTATAATTGTGTTGGTCTAAGAACATAGGCACACAAGGTTCTTTGGGCAGATGTGATCTCTTTTATTTGACCAACTAAATAGCTGGAAAAACTACACTTAACCAGCTAGACAAGGTTCTTTGGCTAAATCTGATGTCTTTTATTAAATCAACTTAAATAGTTGGAAAAACTTTTCTTAACAAGCTTTTGAGTTTAAACCCTTCATCAGGTAAACACCATTTTACCAGCTACAATTATCACCAGGTCAACATTCCCCCTCCCCCAACCACCCTCCCGTCTCCCATTGTCATTCACACCCCCATTGTCATTCACACCGATCCTCCATGCCAGGCATCTGCATTTGCACAGACCTGCTATCTGCACATTGGCTTCTCTTCTACCCAGGACACCACACAAACACCAGCATACTCTCCCCATGTCTGAAGAAGGCTGCTTGTGCCCAACAGCTTGCAAAAAACAATTTTGCAGGGTATTTAGTTGGTCTAATAAAAGATAATCACATCTGCCCAAAGAAACTTGTCATCCTGGCACTCACCATTTTGCAAGATGCGGAATCGTATGGGGGGGGGGGGGGGGGGGGGG